TATTTGTGGAGTGCAAAATTAAAAAAAAAAAGTCATTCAGTTTTGTATTCAGTCAACTAGGTGAACTACCTTCTTCTGTAGCTATCAATATACAGCAATAGCGTAAATAAATACATTTGAAATGAACCCTGAAAGCTCATGTTTAATATTAACTGACAGAGATGAAAACTTTTCACTCTAATTGTAGTTAGTCTTACGAAAATGGAGTTTCAGTTGGTTTTTGTTTTCCGGCGCAGCCTATCCCAGCTGACATGGGTCAAGAAGCGGAGTACACCCAGGAGTGGTTGCCAGGCAGTCAAAGTTTTTCATGATGATTATTTTAATTTCAAACACAACATCCCTTGAATGATATTTGCTGCAGACATTTTCATTCCATACATGTAAAAAAAAAAAAAAAAACATGACGTCAGATTTACCTTCTTTTCACATCACGGGGTTCAGTTTGGGTGCACATAAACATAAAGGATTAAAAAAAAAAAAACACTGGAAGGTTTACGAACTCAATGTTTCCCTGAAACATTCCATTGATCGACTCCCACGATGTCAGCACAGTGTGTGCACACAGAATACCATACTTTTGTTTTGTCAGCCTACAATGTCCAGAGATTTTTCCATAGCTTCTATTAATCACAAGAGACCGTCAAGTGACCGCACCAAGCAGGACGTCATCGGTCGCGTCACAGCAGGCTTCCCCACACCGAGGCCAGGACGGCGGCCATGATGGCCGCGGCGCTCGTCGCCTTGACGAACGGGGCTGCGCTCGTCTGGGCCGGGTTGCATTTGTCCGTGTTGCAGCATTCCACTTTGGCCTCGTAGGTCACACCCAGCAGGGTGGCGTTGGTGGTCATGTTGCAGTTGGCCTGCTCGATGCAACCTTGCGTGTTGAAGCCCACCGAGGACGAGATGGACGTAAAAGCTGCAGGGGAGAGACGGGTTAGGCTGGAGTGACGCTGAGGTGGACAGTGAGCGAAATGCAAACAGAAATGGACCTACTGGCTTTTCCTGTGAAGCACTGGGAGGTGTTGGTGCTGCAATCCACGGTGGACGAGGAAACGCAGAAACCGAGCAAACTGAAGGAGCACTGGTTGCATGTGAGGGACTCCACTGAAATGGATCAACGGAAAATAAAGTCAAACACATATTGAGCTCTTCTCTTCTACAAATTCAAATAAAGAAGAAGTTGTCATGAGGACTCCAGGATGTGCACTCAAGTTCCATACCGCCCCTCAAACTTTCGTGATCAATGAAAGTTTGATGACTTGCCCACTTGATTTGCTTCCACACCGATCCAGAATTACCTTATTAATGAACCCTTTCAGGTACAGCGATTACTACAGTGGACAGCTTATCATGTTATCTGGTTACAGGTTAACGAAAGCATTTTGTGGACACGATTAACTAAAATGTAAAAAAAAAAAAGAACTTTCAATCAAAATTGCTTAATTTTTCAGATGGATTACCACTAATTGAGTGTGACCGAGAATCATTAAGCAGTCTTTCAAATAATTAGAACACGCTTCCCTTTTTTTGTTTATCTGCAATATGTGCCAACACCAAACAACCCTTATCGTCAGACGACATTCTTAACATTTGAGTTGCTCACCAAGCATGAAGCAGGCAAGTGCTGCTATAACTCCGATCAGGATCCTGGCCATCTTTGTCGTGATCTTGGTAATTGCCTCACCGAATCCTTCACAAGGGTCTTCAGTCACCTCTCAGGCGTCAAATGGAAAAAGTGATGAACCTGTTTTGAGTGAAGGGTTTTATCCCCCACCCGTACAAACAGGTGGGTCAGGAAAGAGGGAGGGGTGGGGGGGTAATACAGGGTGCGGTTTCATCAGCTTTTGTCTTCTTCTTGCTTTGCGTCACTGAGAATAAAGGAATGCCACGGGTGTTGACTCTTGGGCCCTGACGTTCAATTGACATACATATCATAGACGGAATGTATATACTGTATAGATGTGGATGTACATTAGAATGCAAAAGAAAATAAAACTCACACTTATGTTTGGCTTAAAACGGTAATTTAAGTTGGAAAAATACAGTGGACAGCTTATCATGTTATCTGGTTACAGGTTAACGAAAGCATTTTGTGGACACGATTAACTAAAATGTAAAAAAAAAAAAGAACTTTCAATCAAAATTGCTTAATTTTTCAGATGGATTACCACTAATTGAGTGTGACCGAGAATCATTAAGCAGTCTTTCAAATAATTAGAACACGCTTCCCTTTTTTTGTTTATCTGCAATATGTGCCAACACCAAACAACCCTTATCGTCAGACGACATTCTTAACATTTGAGTTGCTCACCAAGCATGAAGCAGGCAAGTGCTGCTATAACTCCGATCAGGATCCTGGCCATCTTTGTCGTGATCTTGGTAATTGCCTCACCGAATCCTTCACAAGGGTCTTCAGTCACCTCTCAGGCGTCAAATGGAAAAAGTGATGAACCTGTTTTGAGTGAAGGGTTTTATCCCCCACCCGTACAAACAGGTGGGTCAGGAAAGAGGGAGGGGTGGGGGGGTAATACAGGGTGCGGTTTCATCAGCTTTTGTCTTCTTCTTGCTTTGCGTCACTGAGAATAAAGGAATGCCACGGGTGTTGACTCTTGGGCCCTGACGTTCAATTGACATGCATATCATAGACGGAATGTATATACTGTATAGATGTGGATGTACATTAGAATGCAAAAGAAAATAAAACTCACACTTATATGTTTGGCCTAATTACGGTAATTGAAGTTGGAAAAACCTAATATAAATAAATGTCATAATTGGAAATCATTTTTGAAATGTGGGAGAAAACCGGCAGACCCGGAATAAAGCCACGGGGAGAACATGCAAACTTTACACAGGAAGACCGGCGTTGGAATTGGAACACTGCATCTCTGCACTGTGAGGCCCATGTGCTAGCCCGGTGGTCTCAAACTTGCGGGCCACGGGCCATATGCGGCCCGTAAGACGGTAGTTTGAGGCCACGCCTTGATGTGAAAGTTTAATGTTTGTGCGGCCCGCGCGAGTTTGATACTGTGTGTGTTAGCGCTACCTCCGTGCTAAATAGTTAGGTCTGTCTCATTCGAAGGCCGACAGCTTCAGAGCACCCGGACTACAGCGGCAACGTGAGCAGCTTGAATACACATGTAAACCACAGATGTAAACATCCTAAGCATTTAAGACAATTTTCTTTTTTTAATATTTTTACATATTTATTTTTCGTGACAATTTTTTTTATTGAACAAAATGAAACGAAATGCACGGGGAAACCGCCTCCCAAAACAATTGCACAATGAAGGTCTTCGAATTCATTCTTCAAAATGTGACGTATTTAACATCGGGGGATTAGTTTTCATCCACAAAGTATGTCCACTCTGTTCTCCACGGGACACCCAACAGGCATGACAGGTTCTTCTTGTCGGATAGAGACGAGCGGGCCAACAACGAAACCGCATCTCATCCGTAACCTGAGCGGCACACGTAAAACTGCTTTCTTCCCAATTCAAAGACTTTATTGTATCTTCTCAAGGACATCATCTTACATTCACAGAGGCTGATCAAAACACACACCAGCACACTCTATTGGGAGAAATAAGAATCAAGTGTCCACTTGCAGTTTGGGTGTCCATGTTTGATTTGATTCGATTTATGAAGTCAACATCTCTGGTCTGGTCTGTCCCGTTTGAAATTGTCTTGTTAATTCTGACCACCGTCAAACTTTCGCATCTTACCCTCACAAATCCCACCCCCACCCAAAAAAAAGCCCTGCATCCGCAACCTGCAGGTACACGCAGAGCAATTTTACCAATATAAAAAAAAAAACAATAAACAAAATGAAAGATAGAGTACGATACTAGCAAAATGTACATTTTCTCGTGAAAGCGAAATGTTGACAATTATTTTAATGCAAATTCATTAGTCGACCTCAGCGAATCTTAATTTATAATCAGCGTTGCACATGTAGACGCTTTGTCAAAAGACGGCCGAACCGAAGCAATTTCGACATCCGCAACGACATGAAACCAGCGAAAGCCCTCGGAAATGATTTGGAAACTTTTGTTCGAAAAGAATAACAACAGAGCCCTTTTCGGTTTAACGGCACGATGACGTGACAGTGTTACACCAGCATGTTGGCCAGAAGCAGAGCGGCGATGGTGGACAGGATCAGCGGCCCGCTTGAGATTGCGGGCGCGCCGTTGCACAGGTCGCTGTCGCAGCACGTCTTGGTCATCTTGTAGATGGTCGTGTTGCCGCTGGAGGGGAAATTCACATCCGTGGTGGTGTCACAATCTGCCTTTGCAAGGCAGCCCTTCATTGAGACATCCAGGAAGCCAACTGTGGGGCGGGGAAGACAAGTGTCTCAGTCATCCATTGACACGGCAGCAGCAATTTAGGGAATCGCAAGTATGAACGAGTTGAACAAGTTCAATCGACTATTCCTATGTTAAATCCAAAATTGCAGAATCTGGATCTAATCTGGATTCAACAGAGAAGATGAACGCGTCCGAACACCGCAGTTCACATTTTGGCAACTGGAATGAACAACCAATAACACTTGTTGCATTATATAGCCTAATGAGTGCGGATCTGGATCAAATTGGTATTAAAATTGCGCTGACGTTACATCTTCGGACCCTCCGTAGGCATTGCGAATTTTGTTTGGTGATAAGCATCGGCAGATATAAACAACGAATCGGGTTGTCTAAACTTTTCTCGTGTCAAATCGAAATTGTTGACAAATGAGTGATTGGGATCCAATCCGGATTAAAGCTTTAATACTAAACCAGGTTCAATCTGTATTTGATCCAAAATGCACGTTCGTCAACATTCTTCAAAATGTGACGTATTTAACATCGGGGGATTAGTTTTCATCCACAAAGTATGTCCACTCTGTTCTCCACGAGACACCCAACAGGCATGACAGGTTCTTCTTGTCGGATAGAGACGAGCGGGCCAACAACGAAACCGCATCTCATCCGTAACCTGAGCGGCACACGTAAAACTGCTTTCTTCCCAATTCAAAGACTTTATTGTATCTTCTCAAGGACATCATCTTACATTCACAGAGGCTGATCAAAACACACACCAGCACACTCTATTGGGAGAAATAAGAATCAAGTGTCCACTTGCAGTTTGGGTGTCCATGTTTGATTTGATTCGATTTATGAAGTCAACATCTCTGGTCTGGTCTGTCCCGTTTGAAATTGTCTTGTTAATTCTGACCACCGTCAAACTTTCGCATCTTACCCTCACAAATCCCACCCCCACCCAAAAAAAAGCCCTGCATCCGCAACCTGCAGGTACACGCAGAGCAATTTTACCAATATAAAAAAAAAAACAATAAACAAAATGAAAGATAGAGTACGATACTAGCAAAATGTACATTTTCTCGTGAAAGCGAAATGTTGACAATTATTTTAATGCAAATTCATTAGTCGACCTCAGCGAATCTTAATTTATAATCAGCGTTGCACATGTAGACGCTTTGTCAAAAGACGGCCGAACCGAAGCAATTTCGACATCCGCAACGACATGAAACCAGCGAGAGCCCTCGGAAATGATTTGGAAACTTTTGTTCGAAAAGAATAACAACAGAGCCCTTTTCGGTTTAACGGCACGATGACGTGACAGTGTTACACCAGCATGTTGGCCAGAAGCAGAGCGGCGATGGTGGACAGGATCAGCGGCCCGCTTGAGATTGCGGGCGCGCCGTTGCACAGGTCGCTGTCGCAGCACGTCTTGGTCATCTTGTAGATGGTCGTGTTGCCGCTGGAGGGGAAATTCACATCCGTGGTGGTGTCACAATCTGCCTTTGCAAGGCAGCCCTTCATTGAGACATCCAGGAAGCCAACTGTGGGGCGGGGAAGACAAGTGTCTCAGTCATCCATTGACACGGCAGCAGCAATTTAGGGAATCGCAAGTATGAACGAGTTGAACAAGTTCAATCGACTATTCCTATGTTAAATCCAAAATTGCAGAATCTGGATCTAATCTGGATTCAACAGAGAAGATGAACGCGTCCGAACACCGCAGTTCACATTTTGGCAACTGGAATGAACAACCAATAACACTTGTTGCATTATATAGCCTAATGAGTGCGGATCTGGATCAAATTGGTATTAAAATTGCGCTGACGTTACATCTTCGGACCCTCCGTAGGCATTGCGAATTTTGTTTGGTGATAAGCATCGGCAGATATAAACAACGAATCGGGTTGTCTAAACTTTTCTCGTGTCAAATCGAAATTGTTGACAAATGAGTGATTGGGATCCAATCCGGATTAAAGCTTTAATACTAAACCAGGTTCAATCTGTATTTGATCCAAAATGCACGTTCGTCAACAATTTCAGCTCGACATTGGAAAAGCTCCGATAGCCAGATCTGTTGCTTACACACTGTCGGTCAATTCGTACCAGCAAACATATTTAGACCAGATATGCTTTGAAAGAGATCAAATGTAAACTCGAAAGTAAAGTCAAACTCGCTATATCAGAATCTAATGGAATTTGCTTCGCTATTACATCTTCCCGCCATAAATTTGGGGTCAAACTTGCCACGATTTGACTGAATTATGAGCAATTGAAAATGTGAACCGGTATCAATCCTAATTACTGACTAAAAAGCGATTTGATCAAACCCGATTTGAAAAATCTTCAAATGACATCAAGATGGCAGATTTGAAATTTAAAAAAAAATTTTTTTTTAATGAAAAATGAAATATTTGATTCGAAATAAATTAACACCCCAATGTAAAACCGAAAGTCAAAAAACGAAAACCGACGTGGCACGTCGATGACTCAAGAACTTGACGAACTCATTTCTTATCTGCTTTCAACCAGAATGTAAATAGTGTCGAAAATATTGACATCTAGTATACTTTTATTTGTACCAGTACTGATACATTGGACTGATTACAATAAAACTCTCGAAACGGACACGCTATCTTCAAACACTTTTTTTTTTTTTTTTTTTTTTGCTGATAGCAACACAGCACTCTCATCACTCATGCTGCCTTATCTCCACATCTTTTCTGTCCGCTGGCCTGTGACATCGGTCTGCATGGAATCCCCCCATTCCGTCACATTCCGCGAGCGAGCGACTGACTGACTGACTGCGTCCTCAACGCTGGATGCAAATTGTTGCAAAGAAACGTCAACTGCCAGTTAAGAGTGCGTCCGACCATCTTACCTGCCGTGCCTTTGCCTCTGAAGCAAAGCTCGCCTTCGGCGCACGTCACCATCTTGGTGATGCACAGTTTGAACAGGCCAAGGGAACACTGGTAGCACTGCAGAGCCTGGCCTGAGAACGACAATGAGGAGGAGAGAAAAAGGCTCACTCAAATCATGCCATTTGTTTGATGGAAACAGATGAACACAAGTGTAAATGTCAGGATCAACGGAAACAACGTCTCAATGCTTTACAATGGCTTCAACCATTCCTTAAACCTTTCGGGCACAGCGGTCAATACAGTGGACAGGTTATCATGTTACAGGGTGCATGAAAGGGTGAATATATGATACTACTCACAAAGTTCGGAAAATCGGGCGAAATTTCAGTGTAAACCTGAAATGCACTACTTTTACAGAACTTTACTTTCACCTTCTCTAAACTTTTGAATGTGTCCCATTTCGCTACTGTACTTTGCCCACAACTTGCCGTTCCCCAACATGGTGGTTACTTTATGGGCGCGGGTGTCAAACTCAAGGCCGGAGGGCCAGATCCGGCCCACCAGGTCATTTTATGTGGCCAGCGAAAGCAAATCATGTGTGTCAACTTGCTAAAATCTGTACCGAAATGTCAAATTGTCATGTGTAATAAATAGCGTTGAGATTTTCCAAGAATTTTGTGACCCAGTTTAGACTCACGTGAACAGTAATTGAACTATTAGAATTGACTTGACTGATTTCAAAACGAGTAATCTATTAATTTGTTGTGTACAAGTAATAATTTTGTGGTTTCATTGTCATAACGGACCTCCGAGGGAAGACAACTCCAAATTGGCCCACGACGAAAATGAGTTTGACACCCCTGCTTTACGGTGTTTATTGCCACTCCCAGATGAAGTCTGTTGTCAAACAAAACCTAAAACAAAGAAAATTACACGTTTGGAATTTTTTAAAAAACGACACAACTCTGCCTTTTACTAAAGTCTGCTACTCTAATGTTAGCGCATGTTGCAAAGCCCCGAAAGACAGGTTGCCGCAATTTAAAATGGGGAGTGAAGCTTGCATCTCAGGAGAGATTTAAGCAACAATATGCAATGATAGTGGATGAAAGTAACAGTTTTAAAACTTGTCATCGGGGATCAGCCAAGACACGTCTTAAGTTTACATTGCGTTGCAAAATGAGGTTTTCTGCATAATTTTTTTTTTTTTTTTTTAAAGGTGGAATTCAGCACCACAACAAAACATTTGACTCAGTGGCTTTCAGCGGCGATGACTTCATGCAGGTTTACGTGAGATGAAACGACGCACCTCATTTTAGAATCTTTAAAATGCTGGCTGACCAGTTTACGTCAGCCTTTCCCTTTTTGCCACCTCAGACTTCTTGTTCAGCCAGATGCATGCGTTCATATCAAACTTGCTGGCCGCGGGCCGTTCTGAGCCATGACATCATTATTAGTCCACTAAAGCAAATCAACCGTGTCTTCATGTTTCTTGCCAATTTAATTATTTTCTCGCTTTATTCAACTAATGCAAGCATTCCCCCCTCACCAGCCAGCCAAATCTCTTGTGAACATAAATGGAACTATAGCATGTGGTTGTCACTATTTGCACTGGAAAACTAGTCATCGAGAGTAGAATGTTCCCTTTATGTCCCATGTTCGGGGGAAAAAAGACGCCCGATGATGCCACCCCCTACCCCCACAAAAAAATGCAATGACATCATGATGCGTGAGTCACGTGACCCGTGAACACGTTACAAACGTCGTGATCTAAGTCATCATGTTACTCGATATGAAGTTGTTTTATTTTTTTTCAGCCTCTTGTCTTACAACAAAAATATTTTGGGGAGAGGGTATTAAAATGATTTAATAATAATCAATATGGTACAAGTGAAGGAGTGTACTTCATGGCGATTTGAGAATCACAAACATTTTATTAGCACCGATCAAAGAATACTGTAAACGTACTTTGGGATGAGCTGACTAGTCCTGAAACTACCATCTTAGAGCAACCAAAGTCTTTACAGCATCTTGTGACCCCAAACCGATTAAACTTCACGCATGAGCGTTAAGAACACGTCGGCAGAATTGAGCTTCCACCCTTAAACTGGTGTTCATTGGGGGAAAAAAAGGCGTGGCTCTTCTCAAGCGTACAACGAGGGTTACGCTGCCACCTAGTGTTAGAAAAGTGAACTGCCAGAGCTCCAAAACAGGAGTTTAAAAACATCCTTATTCAGATATCCAGTCAAGGTCCATAAAGTTAAAAAAATAAATAAATAAAAAAAAACATCAGGCAGCGATCAAGCTTCTCGTTTCATGGAACCTGCTGTCATTGTGCACGTATCTATGGAATGTGGGAAACGGGAAACGAGCGCAAACAATGACCAACGAGGTGATCGTAGATACACAATGAGTGACAAAAAAAAAAAAATCCTCGTGAGGCCAAGTTGAAAATAAAACAACGAAGTCACGCACGCTGATAAAGACCGACGTTAGCATTTCTGCAATGCTCCAAGATAAATATGCATAGACAAGTCAGCCGTGTAATGTAAATAGCAGCAGTTTCCAGTCTGATTTGGCGTGGCGTACATGATACGTTATTCTCGCAGTTGACAGCCTGGTCAGGGGGTGTGGTGGGTAACACTTCAGGTGAAAATAAATAAACGTTTGCATGTTAAACAAACCTACTGCCACAGGTGACCCAAGCTAACAGGATATTATTTTCCACTGGTGTACGTTTGGAAAAAAAAGTGATTCAAAGCCAAATATGAATTAGTAGTTTGAAATAACAGCTTGAACTTTCTTTTGTTAATGCACTCGTATATAAAGGAGGAGAAAAAGCAGCCGTCGTGACCATGACAACCGCGGACCACCTCCTTTGCTCGGTTTTAATTTTAAATGAGTGGGTCTGCTCGGACAATGTATGCGTTTGTACTCGCATTACACCGAACTGCTGTTACGTTTCACTCGTCACATATTGGTGGTTGGAAAGAGGTGTGGGGTTTTTTAGATAATCTCCATCGAGTGAAACCGTTATTAAATATAGTACACTTCGGCCATTTAGGGGGAACTTAATCTGTTTGCCCGTTTATCTACAGTGTTAAATGGCAATAAAATCATTACTTTGGTGCTATCTTGTGGCAAGTTGGTGTCAAGGAAACAAGTTGAAGTGAGTCGGGGCTTCATGTAAACAAAAAGTGCTTTGCTGCCCTCTTGTGGCATCAATGAATTTCGTTGAAGTAAGTGAAGGATTTTCATTTGAACCAAACCAGTGTTTTGGGGGGAGTGTCAATTATTTGTAAATTGGATCAAATTGGACTACTGAATCCTCAAGTGGCCGTTGAATCACCTTCAGTTACAAACCGTTGAATCACCTTCAGTTACAATCCGCTATTTGAGCTGCATGTCATTGCAGATAAAAGGTCAAACAGAGCACCTGAAAGCACAAAAAGCAGCCAGGATTCTGGGGGAGGGGGGCTTCGCTGCGAGTCAGGGTGTGGCCCGAAACAGGATACAAATAAAGCCGGTGAGGGGGGAGGACAATGTCCTCAAAAACACAATAGCCAAAGAACAAATGTGACTTGTGTTGTGGACTCTGCAAATCCTCTGTGGAAAAGGAATGTGAGACACGGGCCTCAACTGTTATGGGGTGAGAAATTTCTCATGAGATGGTCTGACAAGTTGGGACGTGATTCAGACCTTCAAAAGCGTCTCGGGATAGCTCCTTGCTGCCTCACCCCAGCGTGTGATAAATAGCGTTAGGGCAAATCCTGCCATGCACGCACTGAGGTGCCTTTACTTGCGGACTTGTTGACTCGTTAGGAGCGACGCTGATAGAGGCTAGCAAAACAAAAATAGAAGCGACAAAAATAGATTACATTACAATCCGATACAAATAGTCTTGGGGGGGGGGGGATTAGAAACCCTTTTCAAAAGGGGTGTCAATTTGATTTTAGCTATTTGTGGCACGGAATAGCCAGAGTTCACTTTATAGCCAATTAGGAAGTACCAGTAGGTTGCCAGTTTGAGGACACAAACAGAGGCACAACTGATTGTGTTGGGTGTATAATCTATTGCCCGTTGAGTGTTTGTATAAATTTCCGTCCAAGTCATTCGCCTTGATAAAAAGAAAAATTTGTGACCCGTAATGTGACCAAATAAGGGCCAATTTGCATCTCAATTTGAGTGACTCACAATTCGTGCACAGCTAACAGTAAGTCTAATGTCATCACAGGTGAATAGATACTACACCAAACATTGTTATGCAACTAGTGTGTTTTGATGTTCGAGTACACAACGCACACACTATAAAAGCAGGTAACATACATGTTTTTCACATGTAGGGTTGCTTACATGCATACCATTGATTAAGATGTTCAAAGTTTAAAAGAAAAATTTGTGACCCGTAATGTTGTGACCAAATAAGGGCCAATTTGCATCTCAATTTGAGTGACTCACAATTCGTGCACAGCTAACAGTAAGTCTAATGTCATCACAGGTGAATAGATACTACACCAAACATTGTTATGCAACTAGTGTGTTTTGATGTTCGAGTACACAACGCACACACTATAAAAGCAGGTAACATACATGTTTTTCACATGTAGGGTTGCTTACATGCATACCATTGATTAAGATGTTCAAAGTTGATATGCTTGTACCCTACCAGAGTGTTTCTCACTGCTAGCTCTTTTTTTTTCTTTATTATTAATTACACTGATTGTTGTCGGTGTCTTTGGAAGAGAAAATGGCCAGTAATTTTCCTTTTACATGCTGTCTGAAAATTCATGGCAGCAGGTTTGGGGAGGGGAAAAGTCTTCCACATTAAGTGAGTGTGCGTCCAGTGGCGCGACCAACGAGCATGTGATGTGATTGTTATTGCATTTGGAAAAAGCCAAAACTCAACTGAAAAAAAAAGGGGGGATATGACAGCGATATTGAATTTCCTGTCATAGCCTTGCAGTCCGTGTGTGTGTGTCGCACTTTGACAACAAGTGTAACTTTTATTTTAGGGTGTGGCTCTGGTCAGAATGTCCAATTTATTCCTTTTTGGGGGGGCCCGGCCCCACCCTCCCGCGTGAGTGTGTACATGCCTTGACAAACACTCTCACACACTCCAAGCACGGACCACACCCACTGCACTTCAAAATTGTTAAATGAAGTATCACCTTGAGTTATCCTTTTCACGTTTTTTTTTAAATTAAGTCGCTTATGTATATTGGAGAAGCAAATTCGTCATCGCACAACAGATAAAGAAAGGAAACATACCTGCGGGCAAAACAGTTTGTACTGTGAACAGAACGTCAGCACACACAACCAAACGCCCCCCCCCCCCGCATCCAAGTAAATGGACACCAAATTTGCAGAAAGTTCTTACCAAGTGAAAAGCAGACTCCCACGACGAAAAGCAGGAGAACAATTCGGTTCATGTTGATTGGCAAGACGTCGAGGAGCTGTCAAACTGCGTGGACACAGACCGTTAGAATCAAACCTTTTTTTTTTCCACCCCACCATCGCCTCATTTATAATCTTCCACCCACCCATCCCGGCGTCACCATTATCCAATGAGAGGAGGTCTTCTGTGGAAAGCAAAGTAATTCCTCCTCCTCTTGAACAAACTCTCAAAATCCACCTGCGATCTTGTGACGTCACTGCGGGTATGGTGGAGACGGTTTTTTTTTCTGCGAGTTAATTCAGTCACAAACACATACGAACTTCCAGTGGGGTCCATTTAAAACTTATCTAAAATAATTTTGGATTGAAACGAATATCGCGAGCTAGCAGGTCAAGTTGTCAAAAATTGTTCTGTCGTTACCTCAGAATAGTAATTAAAAAAAATCGTCCTCCAAAGGATTACTGCACTAAGTGTACAAAATAATTGAGTAACTTAATTATTTTTTTATACAGCAGATGAATGTCAACAAGATAAAAATGTTAAATGGGAATACGCACATTAAAATATGACTAAAAGGGTCACCAGGCACAGATTATTCATTACAGTGGTGCCTTGTGTTCCGTGACATAAGGTAAAACACTTGGAATTAAGGAAAATACCACTCTATAACATTTCGTACTTTATTAAAAAAAAAACTGAATGACAACACAAAAGAATGGAAGAATTATTATTTTATCCTTCAATTCATTTAATTCTGCTGCGCCTCTTGGTGTGCCCACCTTGGCCACCAGGGGCAGTATAAAAGTCGTGAGATTGTCTCTTCTTCACTTGTCTGTACGATGCTTTGGGGAAGAAAAATATATAATTAGTAAAGCAAACAACAAAAAATATGGTCATGTGATGCCTGGCCCTTTAGATTGGTGAAAATGAACCAAGCAATAGCTAACATCGGATTGGTTAGACAATCATGTCAAAATGCATCACGTAAGATATACTGCTGCGTACATAAAAATATAAGTAGTGAGTGGAAAAAACAAACAAACAAAAAAAAACAACTAATGAGTGGCATGTAGTACAATTTATGCAAACATGACTAAAATTAACAAATTCATTGAACCTCGGTATTGTCCACTCCTGCGAGTTTGTCTTCCGCTGATCGACACAAAGAAAGGAGTAAATAAACTCGTGAATCACCAGGGCGATTCACTTCAAAGCGGCTAGTTGTCATCGTGATGTGAATTAATAATTTTTAAAATCCTGAAAATTTTCATTCTTTTCGTGATTCAGAGTTTGTGTACAACCCGTGTCTACTGAAATTGACTTTAGATTTACCAGTGTGAATGAAAACAAAATATTACCATTATCGATTTAATATAGTTTAGTCGGACCTAATTTGTGAGGAACCAGATAACAGTCACAGCCATTCGCTTCATGCGAATGGCTTATGTGACCTTAGTCAGTCAGTGCAGTCAGCTTGTATCATGTATCAACACAGCAGTAGTCCGGGATTGTTTTAGCCCCAACAATAGCTGATGTTCGAGATGCTGCCACGTACAATGACATTCGAAAACAACAAGAAGCACACCTTGCTCAGCCTGATTCAGTTAAGAGGGCAGTTAACATCTAAGCAAATGCAATCTACAGAAGACTATCAGCCGGCAATCTAGAGCAAATGATCATGAAAATGTAAAATACACAAAAAGAAATCCATATATCTGTTTGGGTCACAAATGAGCTCGAGCCTGTTCTCTCTGAGGTGCACTTTGGGCAGGTTGTCAGTTAATTGAATGGAACACATAGACAAACAACTATTCCCACTCCCATTTTAAGACAAGCGGTGGTCTGAGTCAGAGGAGTGAGTCATGTTGTTCGCACTTTATTTTTTTTATCCTCAACGAAGAACGACCAGGCAACAGTAATAGTCAGTCAGTGCAGTCAGCTTGTATCATGTATCAACACAGCAGTAGTCCGGGATTGTTTTAGCCCCAACAATAGCTGATGTTCGAGATGCTGCCACGTACAATGACATTCGAAAACAACAAGAAGCACACCTTGCTCAGCCTGATTCAGTTAAGAGGGCAGTTAACATCTAAGCAAATGCAATCTACAGAAGACTATCAGCCGGCAATCTAGAGCAAATGATCATGAAAATGTAAAATACACAAAAAGAAATCCATATATCTGTTTGGGTCACAAATGAGCTCGAGCCTGTTCTCTCTGAGGTGCACTTTGGGCAGGTTGTCAGTTAATTGAATGGAACACATAGACAAACAACTATTCCCACTCCCATTTTAAGACAAGCGGTGGTCTGAGTCAGAGGAGTGAGTCATGTTGTTCGCACTTTATTTTTTTTATCCTCAACGAAGAACGACCAGGCAACAGTAAAGCGTGGAAAATGAATCGGCCTTTATACTGCCCTCTGGCGGCCAAGACACGCACACCAGAATAAGCAGCACAATGTGCAATGAAATGAATGCGTGTGACAAAAACGATTTAATTCTTCTTTAGTTGTATTTAATTTTGACATGTTGTAGCTTTTCATAAAGTATAATACATCATAAATCTGAATCCGTGTTTTGCAGTTTGGGGTCTAGACAGGTTGGTATTCAATCTCATGCCAGAGAAAAGACTTTGGGTAGTAAGTCACACGAGCAGGCCTCATCTTGCCCGACTATTTGTCTAAAGTGTGTATGTGTCACAGCCTATAAAGAACACAAAACATTTTGTCAATGATTGACAAGCAGGGGCTTGGCTGAAACAATAATGGGGTCCTTCAAATGTGTTTGTCCGCATGACACAATCATGTCCTTTAGTGTTTGTCCTGAGTTTGAGAAACTATTCAGTATCCTCGAAGGTTATGTAACAATCCCAGGAGTCATCTTTTTCAATTCATTTGCAAAGAGGGAGGTTGCTCAAGCCGGTAAAATGCCTCACTTGGTTTTTTCCAAGACTCATATTTGTCAATGTCACTTGGAAATAGGGCATCAGGTTGTAACGGAGCTCAAAAGAAGTCTTATTCCGTCAGGGAGTGATTACAGCTAAGTGACTTGGAGATTCCATACTGGCCAAAATCCAAACAAGTGCTACTGAGTCGCCTCTCATTTTTTTCATTTCAGGATTCCATTTCATCATAGCCATTCTGCCCCCCAAAAAGTAAACAGTAGGGCGTATACATTTAGGATAATGCAAAAAGTAGAATTGATTTTGAGTGGTGGTCGACAGTGTAAGCATTCTTTACCAATGCTAATATTTTTTACTTTTTTTACAGCACGTCCTTTTACCATTTGGCAGATTGCAGGAGGATCTATTTCAAGTAACTTCAATCTCTTGCTTCACTAGACCGGGGAATCCTCTTGGTAAGTATTGTTCGCCCCCCCCCGCCCCAAAAAAAAGAAGTTGGGAACCCAGGCTGTTCCTAAAGAGCGGTTTGAGGTTTTAGTCTGAGTCATTTCCCCCCCTGGAAAATCTGACAGGATTTTGCCACACCAAACAATTCAGTCCTGCCAGTGTGTTGCCAGAGGCAGCTACCCACGGGGCAACCCCATCTCATAAACTCATGACTGCAATCGTAAAATCCTAACACTGGGTTGGAATGTTTTTGTTTTTGAAATAGTAGAGCACTGCACACTTCCGAATAACGGGCAAAACGTATGAAAAGAAGAATCAACCTTTATTGAGATGTCATAATCCGGTTCACCCTTCCCAAGTAGCACAGAGGAAAAAAACAACAAACAGGAGTTCAAGTGTGGACACATAAATATGAATTCACTTATGTGTAGTGAAACTTGGGGGGGAAAAAATTCCAACTCAACAAGAGAAAAAGAGCAAGCAGGGGGAAACAAGGTGCGTCGGCCTCAGTGTTCTAGAAAGGAAACCAAAATGGGAGCTGGTGGTCTTGGCTATTGCTAAGCCTAAAAACAAATCACGAGTTGCAGCAGTGAAATCAGTGCTCTGCTGCAGCGTCTTTAATATTCTCTTTTATTTTGGAAGAAACACATTGTTTTTATTGTGACGGTGAATGTTTGTATGTTAGATATGAAGCTAACACCCAAGGAGAGCTATCTGTAGCCTAGCATAAAGATTGGAAACCAGCGGCCAAGAGCTAGCGCACCTGGGTTAATCCAATAATAGGACATATTTAAAATCACTATTTGTTTAGCAAATTAAATTAAATACAGAACCGATTGTGAAAACATGTTAGGTTGTTTATGCGAGCAATTTCCATCTGGTTTCCAAAAATTATGCTAACTGGTAGCTTATTTCATCTGAGCAAAAAAAGTCCAATACAAACTATGAAATTAACGAGCGATGGGAGGTTTGGGGGAGCTTGGATAAAATTGACATTTACAGACAGCTAGATTGGTTTGTTTCTATAACGTCTTCCCTAACAGTAGAAGCACACAATGTCGATATCTTTAGGCAGAGTTTTTTTTTTTGTTTTGTTTTGACACCACAAAGGCAAAACATCTATATGAACCAGCAATATGGCAAAAAATAAATTCATGTACGATGTTTAAATTGCTGGCAGCCATGTTTGTGGGCTTTATTAAGGGAGAGGATGCAGACCGTCAGTGACTCCTTACCAAACTGTGCCAACGGTGACATCTTTTTAAATGATTTGGAAATGGACTTGTCTTTTTTGGCACATCAGTTTGGTAAGCAGCAGGATACCAAATATACACTAAGTCACAAAAAAGTTCAAGATATCACCGTTAGGCTCGCGGGTGAAATTTGCAGTAATGCACCTAAAAAGTACTTTTAACTTTTACAAGGTGAACCGCTGCGAATATCGAGTTGCGCAAAACGGGTTGAAACATTGAACAGTCGGTCGGACATGTGCATTCGGAAGGATAAAGTTGAAATTTAATTCACCTGGCAAGGTTATCGTGCGTTGTGAATTCATTCTGAAGTTCCACCCGAAAGCTTAATAGCGCTAACTTTTTGGAAGTAGTTGTTTGTGTGTCTTTTCGTGGAGGTAGGGGTGGGGGGGGGCGCACTGGATGCCCAGTTATGTGATGAAGACTTATGGCTGTGCGTTCACGTCTCGCTCACCCTCAGAATCATTCTAATTATTATGATGTTGATTTCATTTGCTCTAATCTAACCCCCCCCCCCAAATAATACAGTCTTCAGAGTGGGGAGGGGTCACTTGTGCGGCTTTTGTCAAACACAGGTGACCCTTCGCCCTCTTTTGTCAATATTCGACGCCGATTCGTCTCGCTCGCGGTCTGCTAGCGGATGGCTTTGACGGGGCTCTTGAAGCTGGAGGCCGCTTGGAGCTGCAGCTGGTAGGCCATCGGGTGGATCTTGAACCCGTACAGCCTAAACGGGAGAGCGAATGAGAGAGCCACACATATCCTTGAGTATTGAACAAGACGCTTGTTTGCGTTTTTCAAATAACACGTTTGTCAAGCGCGCCGGACAAAAGCTATAAAGGTGACAAGATGCAAAAAAAAAAAAAAAAAAAAAAAAGTGCATTGTCTATTTGCTCTTAGGGAGGGAAAGAGGGGGGTGCTGGCTTCTTTTCATCGTGGGATTCTTATGTTTGATGTCTCCCTGCTCCAAACTGGCACGACAGCGTCTTCATTCGGCTGTCGAGACAGTGATAAACTTGGGACAAAGGGACAAATTATGTCAGCTTGGCGTAACTCATGTTTAGCATTTAAAAATAGCAAATGAATGAAATATAATCAAAACACACGTTTGATTCATGGCCACAACCATCAGACATCACTCCAATGGATTTCTTATGCTAATTTTCTTTTTTCATAATACAAACAGTTTTCCTGCACCCCACTGTATTTATATCTGAGAGGAGGTAATCATTTGTGTACAAATGGCTGCGCAAATGTGAAGCGAGACATGCCCAACCTTTGTTGGAGTGGTCATCGGAGAACTGTGACTTCTGTGTTGGAACGGGAACCATTTTGTGTTTCTTTTAGTTCCTATATGTCAGGTCATAATGGAAGAGGCACTTTTTCACATACTGTATGTTAAAGCGTTTGGATCGGTATTTGGATATGCTCTGCTAAAGCGAACACCCCCTGCTTGTTATTTAAAGGATTCAGTTTCACTTAATTGACTTTTTTTTTTGTTATTATGATGACTTACGACAGTAGGTAAACCACAGTGAGACAACGTCACGAAAACTGACCTTGGGACAAACTGATTGGCAGGTCTCTTGGGCCTGTTCTCGGGGTGTACCATGAACAGCATGTGGGGGAAGCCGGTACCAAAGTAGGCTCCGTCCGTGTGGTGGTGCCTGGAGGATTTGGGTGTGTAGACATCCATGCATTTAGGGCAGTACAGCTTCACCATGGCTTCTCCCGGGATGTCTGACAGGCCTGCGGGGGGCGCCACACGTTGAAAAGAGGAAATTTAACACTTGGCGTTCTGCGTTTTGACAAGGTCACGCTGCGATTAAAGCAATTCGCGATTGGCTGTGATTACAAGGACCCCTGTGGTCAAACATCATTTGGGCATTTCTTTTTTTTTGCTCGACGAAGCATGTGTTAAAACATTTAAAAAATAATAATAATAAAAAAAAAAATCACACGACGTACTATCACGACAGTCACACGTTAACGACTTAGCAAACTAAATTTTCCGCAGCACTGATTGGACAAGCAATGTAATGTGATCATCTGCAGCCAGTGATGGCCAAGTAGGCGTGTCATAACTAATTGACATGTTGAGTCAGATGTGTCTTAATCTCCATGGCAGAGTCTCCGTCGAACCCCTGAGACTGATTCACCGAACCCCTGGGGTTCGATCAAACCCAGATTAAGAACCACTGGATTAGTCAGTGTTCATTACCAATTACGAAACAAAACCAAATGAAAAGTTCAAAATAAAATACAAACTCAGCCATCATCTCAAATGTTCTCATTTCAACCCAAAGCATATGATACTCAATCATTTATTTATTTTGTTTTACTCACCAATGGGAAGCATCGTCTGATTCTCACAATAGACACGAGGACAGTAGCCAAAGTCACCTTGCTGATACTTCTCCAACTAAAAACAAAAGAGGAAACGAACAGGATCAGCACTGTCAATCAAACCGGCGTCCTTATAAAACAATTCCTGAAAATGTACTGACGTCAAGTACACTCCATTTATTTACATTTAGGCCATTATCAGAATCAATTTGCTCTCACTTCCTCACATTATGTTGACTAAGAGCTATCATCCCACATGCTTTTAAGAATGTTCCATCTCATTCAAAAGGACATAATGGGGGGGAAGATAAAAAATGGCCCGTTGGTGTAGCGGCAGTTGTGAATTTCGCCAACATAGCCCGGGCACCTACCATCTGCGCAATGCCTCGGTTAGTGAGGATGTAGCGTGCGTGGATGAGGCCGTACAGCATCTCAGCCGCCTGCTCGATCAGGTCACTCTGGTTGGGATTGTCCTCCAGCTCCTCATCTGCAGACACATTGGGAGTTGGTAGAGGAAATGGGGGAAAATAGCAGAACGAGAGTATTAGGCATGCACAATAACGATCCGACGGTTACTGTTACACTCTGGTTACTGTCACTTTAAGAGTCCAAGCCATCTGCTGGATGACATGGAAGGTAAGATGGCGCCGATGCGTCTGATTTCAAAAGTATGAATAGCCCAATCCCAACACCCACACCACAACCTACGGCACCCTATTGAAGTGTAGACTTAGTAGAAGTGCATGGAGATTTCAGGAGAGCGCAAGTTACAAGCGTGCGAAAATTGCAGAATTGGGGCAGTGCGTGTTATGTCAATGTTGTGACGTAAACTATATTTGGCAAACGCACTTTCCATGGTCATACTTGTATTTGGGTGCAAGGAGAGGTACAAATTAAGGTTTATTTCACACAGTTCGAACCTAAGCAAATGTGAGAATAGAGTAAGAACACAATAATAGAGTAAAAAAAGCATTAATTAGGCACCTGGTTCAAGGTCTAGAATCATGTCTAGAGCCTGGCGATAGTGGGGAACTTGCTCATTGAGGCCCGTCAAGTTGAACTTGTCCTGGATATAATCTTCGTCCACCTGCCAACCAAATGCCAACATCGATCATTTGCTCAGAACTTACCTGAGATACATTTGCGCTCAGGTAAGATTTAATTCCAGCAATATTACAAGTGCTCAGCTTTCAATTTGTAACGTGACATCAGCAACCCAAGATTAAAATATCAATAGCGGCATTTAAAGGTCACGGTGAATTCATCAATGAAAAACAAAAACAGCAACATAAAAACACTAAAAACCACTTCTTACCTCGCAGAAAAATTCATTCCCCCTTAGTCCACAGAACCAGGAGATCCATGACACTTCCTCTGAACTGCTCATTTCTAAAGACCTGGAAGAGTAAGAATTTAACACGCATTCATTTTGTGTTCCAATCTGTTGGTGCGTATAGTGATGAAGCCGCACAAATGTGGTTTCATTCAAAACTGGTCAATTGTGATTCCTTTCACAAACGCTGACGGGCTCAAGCTTGATGCTAGGCTAACTCACAAGTTAGTCTTTGGCACTGTCATAAACAGCTCGTAATCGTAAGAAAGAACACACTCTGAGATTCGGTGAAAGCTAACTCCAGCGTTTAATTTATAACGCAGTTCTGCACTGCGGTCTGAATATTTTTTATAGCCAGCTCGAGCTCGTCAAGCTAATACGAACGAGCAATCGAGCTCAATCAATATGGCGCATCGTTGGTGTCCACGGAAGAGCTTTAGTCATTTCCGTTATTGTAAGTACGTTTTTCAACGTCTCTGGATATATAGATATGTAACAATTAGTGTGCGCTTACCCAGTTTTGTACTTTTTTTTTTAGGCAGTAGGAAAAATGCGAGCGATCAAAACAACGTAGCAAGCTACCGGGTTTAAATAAAATGGACACCAGCTCCCAGCTCAGGAGGTTCTTCCTCTACTTCCGGTGATGATTGAGCACTGCCGCCACACGATGGCGAGTTGGAGTACTGCAAGTTTGGTTTGAAGTTACGCTGTCCTGTTTTCAGTACGTCACTCTTGAGAAAAAAAGCTGTCATGACGTTTTGTGACGCCATCAATCTCACGTCGCTTAGCTTTTGTGATACATACCCACTGGACTCTACAGTTACAACAGGAGGAATGTTGTAACCTTGTTCAAATTGAAGGTATTGTGTGGTGGTCTTAAGTAAACCGTGACGTCAGAATGACATGAAAATGCAACATTCCGACCTGCACAAAATGGTAAAACATAAGGAATAAGACATCTAACTCCGAATTTCCATTCAATCAAAAGTAGTTTATTTTACTTTGCCTTCTCTGTATAACTTTATTATAATAAGACACTTCTCTGCTTGTACATTGCTCCCTTGAACTAAAAATGGCAACATTTGTTGGTGGGAATGTAAGTTGGGGTTGACAAAACTTAAACATACCAATATACATACATGTGCATATATTACGGCTCCGTTAATAAAACCATAACTTCTAAAACATAATGGACCACTGCAGGTACCTTGGTAATGCTCGAAACAGTACAATCTTTTGAGTAATTTCCATACACTACTTTTGTTTTCTTTAAGCGTGGGTACATACAATAATGTGCACATCAATATCAAAGAGTTAAGGAGGGATGAAGGACTCTTGAGTCAGTCTTCATAGTACAGCTAGCGATGCAGAAAAACCAGTGACAGGCCAGGCAAGCCGCACACATGGGTTGTGTATTCATGCTCTTAAGTTCTCGTGGAAAGAAGATTCATCGCTTGCCCGCTTATGTACTGTACTGTATTCAACACGAAAACGGCGATTCTCCCCGCTGCATGTTCATTATTTAGATGTACTGTATTTAGGCAGAGCTGAATGCATCACCATGGATGTATTTTTTTTTTCCTTCTGTAAAGCAGCAGCTTTGATAACATTGTTTCAATCAAGTGTGTGTGTGTGTGTGTGTGTGTGTGGGGGGGGGGAGACAAGGCAGAAAGTGCTTGACATAACCCTCTGGTCCTCGCCGTTCCCGTTACAATAGAGATACCAGAAAACGCATACATACCAAACACGTCACACAAGTCGCGCACACTCACAAATCACCAAATGCCCTACTCGCAACATCCCCGTTGAACTGTTAACTGTCAGTAAACAAACAAAAAACCCCAACTTACAGCAGTTGAATTGATGCAGAGGAATTAAGTTCACCCGTCTCCAAACTGCAGGTTTGTCTACCGCGTGGACTACAAGTGTTCCAAATCCAATATTTCCTGAACAAATCCAGCCTGGTTCGTTGAATTCTTGTGATCCGTGACAGGTGACTCGGATGGCTGAGCCCCCCTCCCCACCCCCCATCACCGTGCTGAACAGCCATCCTGAGAGTACATACTTTGAAAAAAAAAAGCCCTCCCGTCAGATAAGCAACTTCGGCTAGTCTTTGTTGCAGTGAAAAGTCCCAATGGTAATAGCGCAGGGTGCATCACAACATGCACGACAGCAGAGGAAATGTAATACTCGACCTATATCTTCGTACTCTGGGCCCAGACAGAGCACCTGTCTTTGTTGTATCACATATAACTTGCTCTATTACATGAAAAAAATAAAATAAAAATAAAAGGAAAACAGCAACCAAGTTTTTTTTTTATCCCAATGTACTTAAAAGGAGTGCTTGTTAGAACATAAAGGCCTACCGAAGCATTTATAATTTAACCAATTGACAATTTGTGAAAAGAGGTCCCCTCATGAGCTTTTTTTTTTCCTTTAACTGGATTCCTCCTCAATAGAACAGACGTCAAACTTGAAAAGGAAAAGACAATTCTTCCATAGAAAAATGGAAATCTCGGAGGAGAGAGCTTTGAAAATAAAAGTCATCAAGTAATAAACAGAGTCGGATTAACCAAATCTTGGAACGAAAGAGGACCGCTAATGTCCATCAGGGAGTATTTTGCAGTGTGCAGAAATCCTGCAGGTGACAAGGATGCTACGGTGAGGCTGACAAAGCCTTTATTTTCTTTAAAAACAAAACGGTCAAACGATATGAAATTTTAAAGCAGGTTGACATGAAAGCATTCAAGCCGGGGAAAAAAAAAAAACAGCGTCTACACAAGCAACAGGATGATGATATAAAAAGACCAAACTAGTGACGTGGAACAGTAGTACATGGGTCCTATCAAAGTTATGACATACTTTGCAGAAAATTGAAAAATTCATACCCGGGAGCCACAGAAAATGTAAAATAAGAGATTGAGAGGGCTGTTTAACGATCCACCCTGTTTAAAAAAAAAAAAAAAAAAACACTCACTCTCACACTTAACATCTCTTGGGTGGTTTAAATCGAATTGACACAACTCTCCTGAAAACAAAGACTAGAATAAGATATTTGTATGATACACTGGTACTGTTCTTGTTAGGCTGAAGCTGCACTTCTCCCCTTTGGAAGCCGTGCAGAACTGGACTGCTGTACACCACCAAAGGCCAAAGTGTGGTCGAAGTATACACAAGGTACATGATTATAAAAGTTCGCCCAATTGAATGTTTTGCCAATTCTATCCCACAATCATTTCACATCCACATGACGTAACACAGGTTTCTACAGGTTTGATGATGTCATTTTGTGCTCGGATGTGTAGCTGTGTGAATTCCCCCAATTTAAAACAATGTGCATTTTCATTGTAGCACGACATGAGTATTGGAGCCACATGGGGTAAGATTTTTTTCCCCCCTCTTTTTTTTTTTTTTTTTTTGAAGGTAAAGAGGACAGGTTCAATAGAAAGTAAGACAAAACCCAACAGAGAAAGTGTACAAGAAAGGACGGTCGACAGCGGACTGATGCAGAAGGGGAGAAAAGGTGACTGGGGTCAATGTGGGAATTCCGTCTCCCTATACTGTACAATGCACAAATATGTTTAGGGATGCAAACATGTAATAATCAAGACAGGGTTTAAAAACAGAAGAGGTGGGGTTGAAAGTGAGTGCAGTTCAGCCGAAATGTTTTTGAAATATTCCAATCACTTCCTATTTTTGGGGGAGGGCCAGTTGCCCCGCTTTTCTCCACGGTTGCCGCCTCCGTTTCCCGTCCCGCCGGAGCCACCGCCGGGTGGACCTCGAGGGCCTCTGCCTCCGCCTCCTCCGACGTTCACCCTCCGGTTTTGCCTTTCCATGCCGGGACGTTGGCTTGAAAAGCTTCTTTTATTAGCTTGAGGCTCCTTCCCTGCCATCTCTCGCTCGACTGCACCTCCACCTCCACCACCTCCCTTCCCGAAGTGGTGGTGATGGTGAGAAGAATACGGCTTCCCTCCTCCCTCTTTGTCTCGGAACTCGGTGAAGTCGCTGCTCTCGGAGGCCGTCTCCCACTCCTCGTTGGCCTGGTCTGAGTTCTGGTTGGTGAAGTCCGGGGACTTGGCTCCGTGGCTGTGGTGATGCTGGGGGTGGGCGGGGCCTGTGCCGCCCTGATTGAAGTGCTGATGGTGGTGGCTGTTTGAGTTGCCGGGGTGCCCGCCGCCACTGTTGTTGTTAGCTGTAAGCGCGGCGTTGTGGTTGGCGTTCTGGGCATTATTGATCAGCGTGGTCGTGACAGCGGTTCCGTTACTGTCCTGAACCGAGTTTACGGAAGGGGAGGAGGGCCTTCCTCCCCCAATCACTCCCACTCCGCCGTTGATCCGCGCCGCATTCTCTCGCTCCTTCAGCCTCCGGAAGCGCGGCGGCTTGTCTTGCTGATGCTGGGAGCGCATGTGACGACGACGCTTGGGTCGCTCGAATCCACCGGGAGGGAACCCGCGGTTTGCGGGAGGAGGAACTGAATTTGGCGTTCCAGTGATTGACGCCGGGTTGGTTGAAGCTTGTTGTGTTGGAACGGCTCCGTTATCAGTGGATGCTTGAGTGGTAGGCGCCGCAGCCAACAGAGAAGTCTGGGGTGGATTGGATCCATGACTTTGAGCTTGATTTCCATCGGCCGTCTTCTCCTTCTTCTCCAAAGGGGGCCCTACCCTGCCCAAGTCCTTGTGTCCCGAGGTTTGTGTCGGGGCTTGCTGCCTTCGTGCAGAGTTTGGCTGCCTTGAGGGGCCCCCGTGAGAGGCCGAACTGGTGGCCCCTCTGTGTCCCCCAGCTGTTCCTCCAGCATTGCCACTATTCCTGTAGATGCTCCCTCCCCCGCCACCACCGCCTCTGCCCCTCCTTGACGGCACCCCCCTGGGGGTGAAAACCCGAGCCTGTGACCCTCTTGGCGGTGCAGTGGAAACATTGCCGCCGGTAGTGGTGTTGGTATTGTCTATGCCATTCTTGGGGTTGGTTTTGTGGGTGTCATCCTTGTCCGACTGACCAAGGTCACTTGCCGCACTCTCACTGCCCGTCTCTGAGCCCCTCTCCCTTCTCCTCTTGGGGATTTCCTCATACTCTGAGCCCTCGCTGCGCGTCTCGCTTCGATTCCTGGCCCTGGCTGGGTTGTGACGGGGCCGGTCTTGACCATGCCGACCACCGGGGCCCTCGCCCTTTGAATCGTGATGGTGGCCAACAGCGACGGCTGTGCGATAGTCTCTGCCACTCCTGCCGGCCATTCTGCCGCGGTTGGCAACACCAGGACCAGCATTGGCTGTGTAGGTACCCCTATAACCACGACCGCGGCCGTAAAACTCTCCACCTCGACCACGACTGCCTCTGGTGGCTTTGTTGGAGACTCCGTGATTATGGGAATGACTGGCTCTTCTCTCAAAGGAACGGTCTCTGTCCCTCCGAGACGAGGATCCTGGAAATCCGGAGGAATCTGCCTCTTTCGGTCCTCTCCCTGACCCGCCGCCACCTCCTCCAGGCGGCCGTTCTTTGCCGCCATTCCTGGGTTTTATTGTCACAGGAGGCTCTTCTTTGCCAGATGGAGCTGACGTGTTATGTGAAGAAGAGGCATCCTGCTTTACTGAGGTGGCTTGGCCACCATCCTTCTGTTTATCCTTCACAAAGCCATGGCTTGATTTCTCTCCTCCATCAACTTCTCCCTCTTTCTTGATCTCTTTCGTCATTGACTTCTTGATTGGACCTGCCCTTTTGTTGGGTCCGGCCTGGCTGGCGGGCTTGTGCTCCGATGGAGCATGAGAAGCCTCATCTGCGCCACGGGAATTGTTCCCACTTCCTGCATTGTTGGCCCTTCTGCCATGAGAGGAAGCCCCACCTGCATTGGTGCTGCCAGGTCGAGGGCCCCACTGCGTCTCGGTTTTATGATCCCGCACCCCTCTTTGGTTTGACCTTGGATGGGAATGGTGCTGGGCCTGAGGGTGACTGCCATGTTGAGCAGGAGGTGGGCTAGAGGTCATGGAAGCATGTGGCGCATAAGCAGAACCTGCTTTATCATGTTTTACATGACCGCCACTGCTGCTACTACCTCTTTCACCAAGATTTTGCACGCCGCCAGATTCACCTTCTCTGTGAGAATGATGATGCAAAGAGGCCTTCACGCTGCCATCTTCCCTGTGAGAAGCAGAAGAGGAAGAAGAGGAGCACGAGGACGAGAGGGAAGGCTGGTGGAGTGGGGGAGAAGGGTTGGTCTTCTTCAGAGGGCCCTCAGCTGCCCTGTTCTCGAGCTTATGGGGTTGGACAGTGTAGTGATGCTGTTGAGGGTGGTGGTTTTGATGGTGGTGGAGGTGGGAGTTGCCTTCTACATTAGGGAGCTCTGCACGGCCATTGCGATCGTAGTGAGGGTGTGGCGCCCCCCACAGCTGGCCCGGCTGAGATCCCCGAGCTTGGACGTCATCTTGATGGGTGAAGCCATGGGAGTGGGTTCCCCTTTCACCACCTCTTTGTTGTTGCTGCTGCTGCTGCTGGTGCGGTGTCATCCTTGCACCTTGATCAGCAAAGTTGTTGTAGTTGCCCCGCCCACTCATGTAGTGGTGAGGCGGGTGGCTGCTGCCCGGCGTATTAAGAGGCGGCGGTGGCGTCTGGTTCGACGGCCCGGAGCTTGTGTTGGGCTGCTTGATGGGACCCAATCCACCCTCTCGTATGCGATGTGGAGGAGTATCACTCCTTAACCAACAAACATGAAACAGATGGGATTATAGAATTGTCAATTTGCACATGAAAAACTGCCAACAACAAAATTGATGGAATACTGTAAGAATCCAATAAAGCCAAAAAAATATATATATTCTGGGTCCTCATACCTGGGCCCTTTGGTCACATCCTCCTCTGACGTCTGCCTCTGCCTCAGAGGGGGATTTATGCCGCAACCTTCTCCTCCACCAGGAAATACCTCAGGCCCCCAAGTCAATTTGGGATCAATAGGGGGAGTGCCACGATGAGGGTGCCCTGGATGCTGTTGTTGACGATCAAAGGGGTCTGAACCAGATCCTCCCGAATCAGACCGCTCACGCCCAATCAGCCCTGATGATTTTATTAATGACAGAAGCTAAAATGATCCGAATGGATATATTTTTAACGATGACAAACATTCTCTTACCTGATGGATGCATGCCAGTGGAGTAAAAGTCCATCGGCGGGCGGCCCTGCATCATGCGAGGATCCATGTAGGGCATCATCATCCACCGTGGGTCAAAATTCATTGGAAGTGGCCGAACTAAGTTGCCGGGTTGATAGAGTGGTCCGCCCTGCTTAGGTCCAGGTCCTGGCTGGGGTGTTGAAACTGGCGAAGGACCCTGCGGTGCTTGGGGTTGGGGAGAGATCTGGCTTTGGGATGCCTGGTTATGCTGCTGTTGCCACTGCTGCTGCTGCTTCAACAGCTGCTCCTACCAAAGTCAAGACAACCATAATTTGGGGTAAGAGCAATACCTTGTTTAGTGGAAATGCCTCTTTATTGTGTACACGTGGGCACGGTGCATCACATGACCGACATAGTGTGACGCGACACCTCTCAGACTGGTCTGCAACACATGCCGCGCAAATGACAAATTGTCGCCGCGCAGAGAATGCCACGTGCATCATCTTTCCATTCTCTCGTGATTGCTCCTGTTGTTGCTGTTTAATGTTAAACAGTACATAGGTGGCTGATTTTGTTTTGCAATGTTTTTAGACTGTTGATCTGTAATTTATTTATTTATTTAAAACACATTTATTTCTTTATTAATGTCATGTAATCCTGATCTTTGGTCATAAAATGTGATGGGTTTTATCTGTGGCTAAACAGACAATAGTGCATTTTTAAAATCAATTGCTGCTGTCATTTCCGTACCTGCTGCTGCCTCTGAAAACGAGGTGGGAGGGACTTTTGGTACTTGGAGTAACCCTGACCCGGAGGAACGACTGCTTGACGGCCTGATCCCCCTCCAATACTCTCAGACTTGACTGGTTCCGTCCCTCTTTCACCTCCACTTCCTGCTCGTATGTGAGGAGTGCAGGCAGTCTCCTCTTTGTCTACTGGTGAAGGTACTTCCAATGTCGGCGGCTGTGGCTGTGTCACAGCTGGCTGAGGACAATGCTGGACATCTAAATGGCAAAGAGAGTCGTTTAGATATAGTTTCTCCCCACTCCCCCTCCGGTCTTTATTATGTGTGATGTACCTGTGTTAGAGTCATAACTACTGTTGCTGCTCGCCCGCTGTCTGTCGCCGACACCAAGACCTGTGCCCGACTGCATAGGCAGCACAGGAGGCTCTTCGGGATCTACGCACGGTGAAGGCGGCTGGCTGACGTTGGGAGAAGATGCAGAGGCTGACAAAGATGGACTCGGACTGCCAGCTGTGGCCGCTGTAGAATTCCCATCGAGGCTGGGTGTCTTGCTGCCACCGCTTCCTCCGACGTTGCTGGTTTGCTGCTGCTGCTGCTGCTTCTCATCCAGCTTTTTCAACTTTTCCGCGCAGGCCGCGCGTCTCTCCTCCTCCATCCGACGTTCCTCCTCCTCGCGGCGCCGACGGGCTCGCTCCACAGCAGCGGAGATCTCGGTGGAAGATTGCTTCCTGCGCTGACGCCACGTCTCGTCCTCGTCGTCCCCTGGGACCCCATGGACCAGCAACCCAGACTGGGGAGGAGGGGTAGGGCCTCCTGCTGCTGGCTGATGCTGGGTGTGGCCTCCTTTTCCGCAGCCCAATGATGCACTCTGGTTGTGCGAACGGTCCTGAACAAAGTGTTAAAATTATAATCATCATTAAGGAGATTCTTTTCACTTCAAGAGCTTCGCAAGTGTGCAGAGAATAGTTTTTAACCAAAGAATAATAACAATTTTAAGTTATAGGTTCTGTGGGCCATGGGTGCGAAATGGTGGAATTGATATCTAAAAGGCCCGGTCAGGATGTCTACCTGTCGATAAAAGGAGTGAGGCCCTTGTCCGACGAGTGGCCCAGGTGGAGGGGAGGGCTGCTCCCGGTGACCACCCGGTCCATGCCTGCGCCCCTGTATACAGGCAGACTCCGTCAGCCATACTCCACCACAATGGTCTACACTGACAATACGCAGACATATGCACACCAACACTTCCACAAGCTTGTGTGGTATGTTGGGCCCCTCCCTCCCTTTCAAATTGTGCCTGGGCCAATTATTAATCATATAGCCGTTAAATCTATGAAAAAGTACTTTAGGAGAACATACTCCTGTCAAGCCTTAGTCAAGCCTACTAATGTGCAGGTATGCCTACACCCGTACACAAAAAAATGGAGAGGGAATTCAAAGGTGCAATTCTTGTACGTTGGTCCCATACTTTTTTTATTTTGCCTCTCAAACCTAAACACAGATGCATTTACCTGGTAGTTGGATGATGCTCCTTGGCTCCCCTCAGTCCACCCTGGCTTGGTGGAGGGAGTCTGTGGGCCATCCTCGGGGTTGGAGGGAGGGCTGTGGCGGCTATCTCCACTGCTGTCTGAGGCTCGAGAGCATGAAGTTGCAGAGGGGGCCTCTTGAGATTTCTGCTGCTCACTAACATTTTTTTTTAATTAGTTTCAAACCACAACACAATTTGCTGTTATTTGGTCACAAACTGACTTTGAGTCATTCTTGCTCTCTGTTGCGTCCTCTTCCCCCTCGTCATCTCCTTCGTCATCGCTGAACTTCAATTTGGCGGAGTAATCAATCTCCTCGTGTGCCCCTGTTAAACCAAAATAGGACAAATAAGCATTCAAAGCAGCACTTGGAGAAAGCTAGCCTTGATTTGTGTACCCACAGTCAATGCCTGTTGAATTTCTTAGTCAAAAAGAAATGAGCGTGCACCTGAAATCAATAGGTTTCCTCCATATACTTTAAAATCTATTCCAAGGTTCCAAAATCTCCAATAGCATACACCTGTTCGTAGAATATTAGGAATAAGCGAGGTCAGACCTGCCCAGCCTTCATCTCCATCGTGGTCCAACTCATCGAGCTCCTTGAGGTCATCCTGCTTTAGGATGGAGGGTCTCTTGACCACCTCTCCGCCTGCATCTCGTGACAGAAGCTGAGGCCTGCTGTCAGGACCAACCTGGGACCGAGAGAACCTGAGAGAGTTGGGACAAAGCCCCGTTAACTACAAGTACACGACTGGTCATGTGACACCGTCTGCTTTGAATTAGCTTTCCAAAGAGTTACTGGGTACGGACAAGCAACTACCTTGGAGCTGGACCTTCACCAGGTGGTGGAAACCTGTAGGGCCCTTGAGGACCATAATTTGCCGGGAAGGGTAAATATGGTGGATACATCTAGAAGAGAAAGAGAGAGAGAGAGAGCAAGAGAGAGAGTGAGAGAGAAGAAGAGAGAGAGTGAGAGAGAAGAAAAAAAAACAGCTATGGCACACTCTTCACACAACCTGTGAAATGTAAGTGTGGAAACTACATTTCCTTGAACTCAAGAGAATGAAAAAGGAAACTTACAAATGGAGGCATGATCCCTCGGAATTGAGGAAACCCAGGCCCCACAGGAGGCTGAGGCAGGGGCAAGGCGGGGCTGCCTGCGGGAGGGTTCCTAGGTGGCACGTGGGACTGCGAGTTCTGAAGCGGGATCCCGGCTGCCCCGTCCATCAGCAAAGCCCCACCGCTGCCACCCTCTGCTGCCCCCTCCCCGGAGAGGGTGGGTGCCATGCCTCGGCCCCCACCGTCCCGCCAGCTTGTAACGTCTGCACGGATGGGACAGAATTGAAATGATGAATCCTGTATACTTCTAACATGCAATTTCTCCGAGATGAACAAAACATGACTTACTCTGGGGGCGGAGGCTTGGTCCGGGCCCATACCACTGATCTGCAGTGCCCTGTTCTCTGCCAGCTTTGTCCTGGTCGCCAGCCGCCTGCAGGGTGGGAAATTCCTCGCGAGAGAATGGCGACGGTAGGTTTGATCCCTTTCCACCTGCGAAAAAAGAACAGGAATGCGATTAATCAAAAACATACGGCTATTAACGTAAAAGGCTTATTCTTTCGGAGGACGTGTGAGTGATACAGTAAAAAAAAAAAAAAAAAAAGACTCACCATCCCCTTGTACTCCATGTGTAACACTGGCCTGTGCCCAGGACCTTGCCCCTACGGCCTGGGTTGGAGCTGGGGCCATAGCCTGAGCAGGATACAGACACAGAAACACACCACACACACACACACACACACACACACACACACACACACACACACACACACACACACACACACACACACACAGAAAATAAGGTATGTGTCAGCCTTACAGCCGAAAAATACATTATCTATTGATAACACGATGCATGTCTCTTACTGTGACTGTTGGCACCTCTGAAGCTGGCGGGGTTCTCGGGCGGGTCGGTGCAGGCGTCTGTGAAGCCACAGGCTGCTGCGGTTCCTGCTGCGGTGCTGACGATGCATCGGTACTGAAGGAATCAAAATAAAAATTATGCTACAGTACGGGGGGGAACAAACTCAATTGTGATGCTCTTCTGATATGTCCCCATTTAAACTGCGTGTAGTACACAGGCACAATTTACCTCTTTGGGTCCGCTTGTTCCTGTTTGCTTGCCCATCCTGTGCCGTCTTTGGGAACGAGTGAGACGTTGGGATCGTTGCCTTTATTCTCTGCCTTCAGACTTGGCAAATTGGCAGGGGGTGGCATACGCCGGGCAGAGGCAACTTTACCGAGAGACTGCAAGCCATGGCGGGGGGGAACTGATCCGGTCAAAGGAGGTCATATGTTAGGTGAGGCCACAAACAGGGACTCAGATTCATATGAAATTTTTCACCACACACTGATTTAGGCAATAGAAGAGAAGATAACCCTTTAATGATCCCGAGAGAGGAATTTCAGATGTTCCACCTGATCACGTATCACGGTATTACATAATAATTATATTCAGTTTAAAAAAATAAAAATAATGGCTTCGATCAACTTTAATTGAGTGTCAGAGAGTCCCTTGAAAACGTACATATGGAGTAGCCTAGTGTGAAACTGGTGTACTGCTGCAAGCAGGGAGATGCTTTGGAATTGAAAAAGTGAAGCCGTACCGATTCAAATAGCCATTTTGTCCCAGGGGATTGAAATAAAATAATTTTGCCCCCCCGGCCCCAAAAATCACCTAGATTTACTTTCCTGGAGAGAAAATAGTGAGATCCTAAATAAAACATACACTACAGGGACTAAGCGCAATAAACAGACTGTTCGCAAGCAAACCTCTGGATCAGCTCACATGATAAATCTTCCATTATTCAAAATTCTGGCCTATGCGGCAATGAATGTGCTGCAGCATGGAGACTCTACAAACTCGAAATGCAAGTGCATTAAGACATACAGAGATCAGGTACGGAAAAAACAAATTCCGTTAGAAAAAAAAAAAAAACTTTAATCAAATTGTTGCAAAGCGGATCTATGCTAAATGTAGGAACAGGCCAGGGATTTAAATAAAACAAAATTCTCAGAATAAATCAGTTCAGTCAAAGATCAAATATTTGTCCATTCTGTGTCACAAATCACACTGTACAGCAAAATGCACTGTGGGGGGGGGTGTGACGCAAATCAAGATACTCACCAATAGGCTTTTGTGTTTCAAGGCTCTTTCCTTTGTACGTATCAAACAGGTTGAGAGACGCATACTTGGTTTTGCCTTCCTTCCCCTTTGCAGTTTGCCCAGAGCGCTCTGACATTGCGCTGTCCGCTCATCGAGTATGGTGAGCCCTGAGACTGGGGTGGGGTGGGTGGGGTGGGATTTCAGACATGGCAACATGTTACAAAAGGCAGTTATATTATAAACACAGCAACACACTGCTTAACAATTCACCACTGAAAATACGTGTACAATTCCAAAGTGGCCGCGTGATAAACGGGATCGGCTGTCGGCGGCCAATGTTAATTTAACGTCTTATGTATGTATGTATGTATGCTGGTATTATGTACAGCAACCGCCAATTTTTTTCCCCTGCCATTCCTCGATAGGATTCCCAACGAGAGATCAGACAGTGCAGGCAATATTTTGTTATTATTTTTTTTTAATAGTCACCACATGGGCAATAAATATTTTGTTTTATTTTCACTTTATAAAGACTCTGTGAGGGTCGGTCTGAGACTCAAGATTCACAGGATGTTGCCCACGAACTCTACTTTGCTTAAGTCTTTACTTGATGTACGCGTTTTTGTTAGCACGGAAAGCTAATCACATATGCTACTTTTCCAGAGTTACCAAGGGAAGATCCTACTCACCCTGAAAATATGCCCTGAGAACAGAAGCTTGTTTACAGTTCCAACGCATGTATGTATTCATGCTAAAGCACGGTAATTTGTTCTAATTTTTAAAAGGACCTTTCGCAGTTCAAATAGGGCTGATGGTAAAACAGGTTGCCACTCCCAAATCAGCCTGTTACTTTTTCTCCATCTTATTTTAAGTATGGAATGGTTCTCTTTAGTCTCGGAGGGACTAAAGACAACATAAGCCTGTATTCCCGCTGAGCGGTGAAGGTTGGCGAACGTTTATTTCTCATCAGGGTTGCTTCAAAATCGCCAACGGTCGCCAAGACTTTTGTCAGATATGCGCAAACAGTTTTAACGGTCGCAGGCTGTTTTTCTTGACACAAAATTTTGAACATGTTCCACATTTTTCTTGCTCTCGCACAACTTCTTGCTCTGTGGGGATACGGGCTTAAATGATGAGTACTGTAGCATTGGAGGGCTCGTTTAAAAACATCACATTTATATCAGTACAAAAGTTTCATATCCACATCACAATGCATAACATAACACTTCACCGAATCAGTGTGCAAAAAGGGCAAAGGGGGAAAAAATGGCTTCTATGGAAACACAAAAGTTTACCTCTGTACCTTGTTTGAGAGATGCTAGGCACCAATGCAATTAAATACCAGGACTTATTTTACTGTGTATCAACAAAAGGTGAACTCATCACCGCTGCACCATTCATTCCGCACTTAACAGGATTGATGAGACAGATTATTTTTGTAATGCTGAGAAAAACAACCCCCCCCCCCATGTGTTTGCTTCGCTATAACACAGTGTGCATTTGGATGACATTCCGTTTGAAAGGGCTATGATTTGGCACTATTCATGGAGCTGGCACATGTACGGTACGATCCAAATCGTACCGTATGTAATACAGTATACCACTTGATGGAGAAGTGACTAATAATGCGCTCGAAGTATTTTGTCTTCACTTTCAATCATAATTGCAAAGAATCTTACTTTATATTAGCAAAGAGATGAACTCAACAGGGTCTTGCTTTGTTCATAGCTAATACAGTGGAACCTCAAATTATGAACTTAATTGGTTCAGTGAGCTCGTTTGTAACCCGAAACATTCATAAATCGAGGTAGTGTTCACCACTGAAATGAATGGCAATGCAGTTAATCCCTTCCAGCCCTCAAACTATTCTTTTTTTCCCCTCGCCAGTGTGTGGTCACTTAGTTGTGACTTTGTGTTTGGACGACTATTACATGTCCCATGGTATCCAACATGCACACCAGAAAGCACACAGAGTCTTGAAAGACTTAACGGAATTGTCATTCACTTGAATAGGGCCAGATAATTTGCGCTACAAATATTTTGTGTGGAACGAAGTCAAGGTCCCAAAGTAAATCAGGAGTGAAACAAAACCTCTCAATGCTAACTTTACATTAACATCGTACGTACCTGTTAAATGCACCTACAAAATTAATTTAATAGCTAAAGCAACTATGTTGGAGCCTCATCCCAACGCCACTTGATCAGAAAAAAACAAATTAAACCAACAATCTATTTGCAGCACATCATACACAATTTAGCCCAACGATCCCTATGGTGTGTGTGTGTGGTGTTTACACCATAAAACACAATAAACAACACCGCCGATGGTGTCACCGAATGCATGTACCGTGCGTAAATGGCCAGATGAGATTAGAAAATTAGGTCGTGGACGACTGGTCAACTATATGGGATTAAAGGGGCCAGCAGCCTCGCACTGCACAAAGCCTTGCACTATCTGCAGCATCGAGGCCTTATCTAACAATATTCCAGAGTTTCTCCGTCGACGCAGTTGTCAGTGCAACGCAGAAGCAGCAGTGCATTTTGATAAGGACAAATATAACCCCTAAATCGACAACGCTACTCGGATTGAACGTGATTTAGTTAAAGCAGTGATGCTAGCCGGAGCTAACTGGCAGGCCATCCATGTTCGCATTGGGAGGGGGACTGCGTTGATGTTTCATAACGCATTTCAACACTTGGGCTAACGCTTCGAGCTGTCCCCACCAGACAAGTGGCCTTTCTTGCAAATCACACGTTAACCGGTTCCCTTGAGCTTTGCCAGTGGTTATTTTGGTCATGTAAGGCTTGAAATTTTGACAATTTTATGAGGGAACGGAACAAAATGGCGCTGGACAGAGGCCCGGTTGATTTTGCCGTTAACATTTCGCGACACCGGTTAGGCATAGAGTAAGATAAAAACACATCTCCTGTTCATATACGTGGGCGTAAACAATATTAGTTTTAGTTCCCAACGTTGCGATATCGTGATCTGACAGCGAATTGCCAAAAGCTACATATTGGTCTGAAACTGACTAAACGACGTGCTATAATGTTTGGCGTTATCCGCATACATTTAACTGATATCACACGTAGATGTCCAGATATTTGAGCAAAGCACTTTTAATTTGTCTTGCGCTCAAATCAAGTCCAGTACTTGAATTCCACAACGTCTGCTTGTAAAACAATACAACATACATTCATTAGCAAGCTAGGCTAAACAAGCTAGAAACAACCAAGACGGTCTCGTTTCCGAAGGAAAAAAAACATCCAAGACTGCTCCTTCATAAAATTCCGTCGCTAGTCTGTTCCAACAGCGTATTCGGTTTTTGCTGAAAACAACACAACCAATACACGTATTGTTATAATATATATTGTAAAACTGTTTCCAGCCACTGACCTGGTCTTATCCCGACTTGTCTCGAGGTTGATTCGCAGAATGGGGTTAGATTAGCTTTTCTAGCACAGTGTCCTAGCTAGCGAAGCAACGTTATTTCCCCCGCATAGCCAAACATCCCCCATTAGCATTTTCGTCACAGATGTGAGTGGATAAATACAAAGAAGATGTGCTGCTTACTTGTACTCCCTTCTTTATCCCGAAAACAAATGAAAAGGGGGACCGGGGGGGAGAAAATTGTAAAACGAAGCGTCACCTAAAAAGCTGTCAAAGGCTACTGGGAAATGTCGTGAGATGGGAGTCGTTTGGGAGCCGTTGAGGGATTTAAAAAAACAAACAAATAATTGTGTTCTATATTAAAAATAGAAAATAAATATAATTTAATAAATATGAATGAATCACAGCAATGGAAAATGCTTTACCGTTTTGAAAATGAGCTGGGGAAAATGTCAAATTGATGCAAGGAGAAAATTACTGTCAATAGTGAGGGTATTCAGGTCATGTTCATTCTTACACTAAAAATACAATTCCTAAAACATCATGGTCATTTTTTTGTGTTATCGAACATGGTTCTTTTTGTATGCTTACACAACCCAAGAAAGAATAAACAAACAAGGGTGACATTAACCTTCAATGTTTTTGTTACTCTCTTTATAAATGTAATCAAAACACTGACGTTCAAAACTTTTAGTGTTTCTTAAAATAACGAGGGGAAACATATACAATGGACTCAAACAAATGTGAATATTTTGGCAACAACAATTTATTTCTGTTGATCAGGGAGGTGTTGGCAAGGAGTCCATCTGAATTGGTGCAAATCCAAAAATAGTTAAGATGAATACAAAATGTAAAAATAAATTCCCCACACACTGATTGCATCATAAGTAGGAGTGGCTTCCAGGCTCCTCACATTCACCCACACTTATGCACTTTTAAAATTATAGCCATGGTTTTAAGCAAACCACTGAAACGCAAAAAGAGATTCCAACGTGCAGTACATTCATCAAAAGGCCAGGAACATTACTTTACATTTTGTAAAGGAACTGTTAAAATCAAATTGGATGTATGACATTTTTAGACAAATGGGCAAAGTTGAAACACAAGTGCATTTCAGGCTCCATACTGTAAACTATATGTAAAGTCCTTTAAAATTAAGCACCATTAAAGCGTTGTTTAATTCTACTGAATTCCAAGCACAGTTGGAAACTCAAATACAGACTGTGATGGTAGATATCACAATGAAATAAAAACTGTCTGTTTTCAATATATACAGTTTGGACATGTCTTTTTGGGTTTGGGGGGTCAGTCCCAGAGCAACACCTGTACAAAATCTCTTTCATCCAAAAGAAAAAAAAATCTGTCTTAATAAAGACAGTCTCGCTCATTAAAAGACAAAGGAAGGCAGAGGAAAAACAATTATGGCCATCATGGTGCAGGGATTCACATTTCAAATAGTTTGCATTCCAAAATTAAGGTGGGGAAAAAAAGTCACTTTTGTTCCTTCCTGAGAAAGTGGTCCCGTTTTTCCTTCGGGAGTCAAACCCTGAAAATAAAATAAAAGTAAGTCATTTCAAAGTCATATTCAGGTACTTTTGCTTCACTTTTCAGTCTGGATTGTTGATGCATCAGTTATACAATTTAGATTTTTACTCTCATGGTGGCACAATTTCATGCAAATGTGCAAACTCTGAACCTCAGAACTATAAGGCAGGTATGCTGACCACTGAGTTTGTGAAACTTATTACTTGGCAAAGTTTAACCTCACCTCTGATTCATGTGTATTACCGGCCTCCATACAGGTGGATCTTGGCAAATGAGACGGTCTCATAGTAATCTTTCTGCCCCTTCTCGTAGATGACATAGATGTGTTTCCGGTCGTCCACAGAGTCACTGTCCATTGACGTGATGCAGGAGTAACCACTTGGGCCCGGCCAAATCTGCAGGGCCTCCTTCTCCCAGGAGTTCCCGTCAGTCAGTGACCAACGTAAGGTAAGGTTAATTCCTGTGAGGAACAGTTCAGGTAGCCATGATCACAAATGGACGGCAAAATTGTCGTACAATCAGATAGGAAAAGTTGTCATATTTGGTGGCCTTTTTTTTTTTTTGTAAACGAATATCTTAGCCTGTGGATCAGATAGGAAAAGTTGTCATAGTTGGTGGCTTTTTTTTTTTTTTTTGTAAACGAATATCTTAGCCTGTGATTGGTTGATGACCAAGTCAGGGTATACCAGGGGTGTGAAACTCATTTTTTGTCGCGGGCCACTTTGGGGTTACGTCTTCCATTGGAGGTCCGTTACGACAGTGAAACTAAATTAATGTTCATATATTATTACTTGTCCACAACAAATTGATGGATTACCAGTTTTGAAATCAGTCAAATCAACTATAATAGTTTGTTAAATTATTGTTTGAGTGAGTGTGAACAGGGTAACAAAATTATTGCAAAATCTCAACGTTATTTATTACACATAATTTGACATTTCGGTACAGTTTTTAGCAAGGGTCATGGGAAGTTGACAGACATGATTTGCTTTCGCGGGCCACATAATATGATGTGGCAGGCCAGATCTGGCCCCCGGGCCTTGAGTTTGACACATGCGGGGTATACCGAACATTCTTTAAAGTGTACAATTTTAAGCTCTAAAATGCAGCAGTCATAAAAACAAACAGTTCAAATGGCGCAACACTCTCAGGTAAAATTTGCGTACTGGACCCTTACTTTGTAGTGCATTCGATGGGTTCGTGAAGAAGAGCACCCCTTCTTTTTGAAAGGCCCCAGCTGCTACTGCCGGATCCACAAGCTCATAGTCAAAGTACAGGTCGTCTATGGGCAGGGACATTCCGCCATCTCGGCTTCGCACCACCACGCGACACCTGCAGTGGTAGTTGTTCTGGTTTCGGACATTGATGACAATGCTTCCGTCGGTCATTTCGAATGGCTGCAGAATAAGCAAAAAGTCAAAGCTAGTTAAGATATTTGGTGAACAACGGTCGATGCTATTCCACACCTCTAGCTAGCGTCAATGTAAACTTCAAAACAATGAATTCAGTTTCAACTAATGCAGCTTTTAGGGCTATTCATTCGACTCCCATGAAAACGTATGTATCCATTCCAGTGTTGTGTTTCCAAGATGTGCAAGTCAAGCATACGGCTAACAGGCTATTGTCCACTTAACAAAATATCTGTTGGCGTGCACAAATGAAAACACCAGATGCTGCTTTGTTCTGCTGACACGACACTCAAGATCTGAACTTTGATCTCAGGCTTTGTTATTCCTATTACGACGAAACATGGACAAGCCGCAACAAACGTTACGGTGAACAAAACCAGGCGAGGGAGGTGAACTGAGGGAGTCTATCCGCAACTCTGAGCTTGGGAAGTGGGGGGGCGGGGGGATATTTTGCCTCCCATGGGTGGTTGGGGACATGCAATTTGAGTGGGCCATGTTCAAAGCCTCCATTGTGAAGATGGTTGCTCGGAGTTGAAGCCCCAATGTTAGTACTAGGCTGATGTGGGAGCAACCTGAGTAGCTGCTGGTGAACAGCAATGTTGGAAGCGGCGACTGTCAAGCCTTTCAAATTGCTTCTCAAGTTAACTGTCAGTCGACATTGCAAATTGTCAACGAACCTACTGTATCCAAAAAATGCTGCCGGGAGAAGACAGCTAAGGTGATTGTAATGTCGCTAAGAAGCAACTCCAGCTCCCGTTGGGCCATTTTCCACGCATTGATGTTTTTTTGTGTTTTCATTTTGTATTTGTGTGTTTGGCTTCTTGTCCCATTCAATAAACAGTTGAAAGTGCATCGGTGAGTGTGGCTCGAGTGGTGGCGTATCCGAATTGAAATCGACACCGCAGCGTAGTAGAATTGAAATTTTCAAATCGCAAATGTTGCAATTTGAAAACAAAAAAACGTGATCACTTTTTAGGCAAATTGTGGCTTATCTCACAAAGCAATTAAAAAAAAAATTAATGGATGTCCCATGTACCTGGCACTCATCAGGATTAAAGTCTAGCGGCCTTTTCTTCTGGTTGTAAGGGATGCTTTTCAGCGCTGCGCCATTGAACCAAGTGTGTCCATGATCATCACTCAGGATGCAAAAAACACCATCCCCTTCCAACGTTCCATGACCACACACCACCAACCTTCCCTGGTTTGGCTCATAGTGTTTCTGTTGTGGGTGATAAAAAGCGGGAAAATAAGCAACAGCGAGGACGAAAAAAAAAAAATTCAATCGTTTAATAGTGGTTTGCGTTCTCGACTTTGCACACCAAATCAAACTTTAAATCCATACAAAACCTGAACCCCAAAGCTTCCTCCTGTACAGTTAAAAATCATTACTATGCTGTACGAATAACAAGTGATGAAGCACTTTTAAGAAGCAAAAACTGGAAATATACTTACGATTAAAATTTTGCTCTCTGTAAAACCAGCTCGTGTTTTCTTACCTGGATGCCAGAACCTGGTCCGGGAGCAAAATTCTTGACTCCTAACTCGACCGAGAGATTTCTGGGTGAACTCCAGCTCAGGCCGTCATCAATGCTTTCTACCATCATGGTACTAGCAGGACGACAGTTGTACAGGTGGAAACAGGAAGTGTAGATCAGAATAACTGAGCCCACTTCCTGGTCTACCACCACCGAGCCCAGGTTCAGGCCGTCCTGGGCAAGTCCATCATCAACAATGAAGCTGGTCGGTGACCACGTGGATCCTAGTGGAATGAAGGAGAAGAGGCCGGAATAATCTCAGCGCAAGGGTGACACAATGAGGGTGGAAGAGGTGCAACGATGTTGTTGTAAAATGACCACAGGTGATGATGCAAACTTCCCCCATTGTTTACATTTTTCACGCCTCCTCCCCAACTCTCTGCAGCAACTACTGTATAAAAAAGTACCATTTGTTCTGATAAGAGTTAAGAGGATGCAGATTGTGAAGTTTGTCCTACCTTTGTCAGTGGACCGCCGCATTGCAATGAACTTTGCTCCAGTATCGCTGGATGAGGACTTCCTACCCTCGGCGAAAGCCAGCAGACTTCCCATGGGGGTGAAGGTGATCAGAGGGATCCTGTAGGTGTTCACCTCCCCTTGCACCCCGCTCACCCACAGTAGCTGTTCTTCAAACAGCAGGGGTTTAATCTGGACCAAGAGAGCAAAGCAACTGAGAAAACGTGTAGGGACACGCTGAAAATAAAAAAGACACAATCTGTCTAAAGTCACAATTCAGCCATTGATATGAATTATTCAAAAATAGGGGGTCCTCTCATGTTGTATTATTCATAAATATAGCAATTACGTCATAATTAGAGTAAATATGTATAGGAAGACATTTGTAGGACAAGAAAGAAAGAAATAACAGTAACTTACGACACGAACTGAGCGTGTTTGCTTGTGCCCGTGACTTCGTCGTGTTTTTTTTTAAATAAACTGAATGCGAAGAATTAGTCTAGGTCTTAGTAAGGCGTTAAATTAAACGCACTACAATATTACTTTCGTGACTCTGAAAAAAGTACAGGCTTTTATGTCTTACCGTGACAGAGCAGATGATGACAGCGGGAAGTAATAGCGACAGTACGGTCGCGAGCACACTTCCTGTTTTAAAGTTCCTTCCCCGTATGACAGACATTTCTTATTTCTTATGTTTGAGCAGAAAATCAACATACGCGTAACGAACGCTACTTCAAAATGCAGACAACCAAAGGAAACATGAGCATTCAGCCGGTCCAAATTTGCGACCCTGAATCAGCAGCAAAGTATTGGCTCATGTGACCAAGGTGGGCGGTCACATGATCATAGCGTCAGCCTAAACCCGGAACAGGTTTGCCGAAATGGTTGCTAAATATTTTTACCACACGATGGCAGTATGACCTAAAACAAAAAATGACCGCTAGCTAGACACAGTACAATGTTGTGTCGTTCAGTCTAACAATAACGAACAATTTGTAACAATTTGTAACCCCCTGCAACAAGGTAATGGCCCATTAAACTCTTAGGAGTCTTGTCCAAATATATTTGAGCCCCTGAAAATGGAGGTGCACTGCATTAAAGGTTGCAATTTAGTCAGCGATTTAACATTTTTGTGAGTACCTCTTAAATTAAAGCGGATAGTCTGAGTGAGGCAAAACTCTCTCCATCTCAATGTGCCTGGGAAAAGATTTAGCAATGTAACTAAAAATAAAGGCAAAAGGGCAGATAACTCTCTAAACAAAAGCTAAACCAAACAGCAGTGCCAACGTTTACTCTTTGATAAAGAAATTCAGACCAGTTCAGAAGAAAATGTTGTAGCCTCTGATTTTGAAAGTATGTAGGGATTTGGAGTTTGAATAAAACCTTTTTGCTATTTATTGTATTATCAATCTAGGAATCTGAAACAATAAAATAGCTTTTGCAAGTCATTTGTATCTGCCTTTTTGCGACCCTGATGCATTTTGGTCTGAATGGAATGTCGCCATAAGAATGTGTAATATGTGAATAATATTCCAGGGAATCAGCAGTGTTGTGCAAATACACAGGGAGGTCATACTGTATTTGTATCGATGTGCCACATGTACACAGCGAGCACAGCTGGCGGGTCAGGTTACTTAAATTGTAAACATCTGGCATTCAGTTTTAGCAGATAGCAGTTCCTCACAAGTTGGTGTGTCTTCTCCGTATTCCTCGTGACAGTGGTGTGGCCAAAGTGAGACAAAGATTCATTAAAACTCATTCAGTCCCAGCCAATTCTAGACCAAGTCTGAAAAGACGTTTAAAGACGTATTTGGGAGTGAATGAGTTAAGAGATGACACTAGTGGGGTACAAACTTACATCGCAGATGTTCTCCACCAAACATGGCTGAAAAGTCATTGTTTATCATATCATCCACAGTCAGAGTTACATGAAATGAAAAGCACACAGAAACCAATCTGGCCCAACACACTCATAATTTCGAAATTTATTTCGGTGTTTCATTTTATTTCATGAAACCCTGACTGTGGCTGTTATGATAAACAATGACTTCTCGGCCATGCTCTCAGTGGGCCAAGAATTGAAAGATAATATCGTGGTGAATTCTTTTGACACAAGTTTCCAGTTTGTATCAATGAGGCACCCCCGGTGCAATGCAACTGTGTGAAAACGGCAAAGCAGAAGTCTGCACCAGGTTCCTGTTCACGTTTGTGATGTCCTGCCATTTTGACGAAAGCATGTCCCAGATATGTTATTGAAAACTATGAATTCTTTGAAATTATGAAAAAAAAAACATCCACAATATCCCATTAAAATGCTCCAGACTACTGCCATACACTCACATTTAACACAGTGTTGTGCTGCACCGTGAACAGCATTCCAGTAGTCATGGGGCAGTGCTGAGCTGAGTCACACGCCGAGAGAGAGAGAGAGAGAGAGAGAGAGAGAGAGAGAGAGAGAGAGAGAGAGAGAAGCTGAGAGAGAAGCTGAGAGCTCCATCCAAGTGTGAAAGTCACATCCAGTGAACGTCTCAGTCAGACTGACCTGCTCTTACAACATGGCAATATCTATCGATCTGTCCACTGCAGATAAAATTGGATGCTAAAAACTCATCCTAGTTTTGTCGACATGAAGGACTTTGAGCAGGAGATCAGGTAGGGAGTCTCTTCTTATGTTTGACTTCACAAAACCTCTAAACGTGCTCTCCTTTCAAAGTAGTTTCACCCCCCCCAGGATGCATTTGACAATTTAAAACCACGTCTTCCACATAGCATCTTCTATTTTCATGAAACCACAGGAGAAGAATTCAAAGAACGAAAGCAATTATTTCCTTTTTGTGTTGAAACGCTGACTCGAGCACTTCTGCAATTGCGGGCACATCGTTTTGTGAAAATGTAAGCAGTCTTGGTCTCTGTGTAAATTGCTGGACTTGTGTAAATGTCAACGGGAGTGAAGGCAAATACAGAGAAAATGAAACATAAAGAGCAGGGAGGTGGAGTATGCACTTTGGCAATATTGTGGCATGACACCTCGGCGTTAAAATGTGAGAGTGAGACAGACGAGCAAGAGGTGATATGTTTTGGGTGATTTATTATTTTTTTCACAGACATTAAGCTGTCGAGAGGAAGACGGGTTGAGTGGTCTGCAGAAGAAGGCATGTTAAGGTGCAGTGAAAATATATGCCTTATACTCAATGAAATGTTTTCATATTTTTTTTACATTTATCACTAATGTGAAGTCTCATAAATTCTTTTTTTTTTTTTTTTTTAACCCAACAAAATGATTGGATCTTGGTTGTTCTGCTTTGCTGGCAGGTTGCATCATAACCACTTTTTTTCCCTTCTTCTTTTTTTTAAGTTATGTGATGTGCAGTTGCTCCTTCCTTGAGCTACTTCAAGCCATTGTGAAATTTTTAATCCTGGCTAAAAGCCGGCGCCACATCGATTTTTTTCCCCTCCCTTTAGAAGCTCTTTTAGTTGTGTAAACTGAATATTATGAAATATTGCATGACATCATGACTTCCTCCCCTGGATTTTGTCCCATGATAACGAATGAAATGCTACTTCGGTATGCTCACGCATACTTGCTTTCAACAATCGTGTGTTGATTTGAAGCACTGTCTGTACGTGACTCAGTTGGCTGCAGTGAGACTGCAAAATGATGCACGGCTGCAGTCACTTTTAAAGACATTCCATTCATTTTCCAGATGTTCGGTAAAAATGTTGAACTCTGTTTCAATCACTTTGTTTGCTTCTGGGCAGATGGAGGACACGGATGATTTTGAACGTATGATAGAGGAAAGTATAGTGGATGAATCTCAATCACAAACGAACAACAAACCCAAATGGGAAAATGGTAACATATGATTTGATTCTCGACTTATCATTTTGCTCGATGTACTCATTTAGTTCATCCCTTTCTCCTTCCTCAAGGTCAATGTGTTCTGGCAATTCCAAGCTATTCTCTCATCAACCCCAGTTTTGATCTCTCACTGTGCAACTCCACACTGGAGAGGAAAGGCTTCCAGGTAACACGCAAAACGCACGATCGCTGGTACGCTATGACATCTTATTTTGTGATCTGGTGGAGTGTACATACATGGTTTCATCGTTCTTTTCATGTTAGATCCCGGTCGCAGACATTGAGGTTCCGCTGAAAACAGCGTTGGAAGTTCCCGCAGTCAGAAGATTTATGATTTTCAACTCATCTCTCTTCCATTTCATCATGGCGCCGGTAAGGAAGGTTCGCTTTCATGCGGGCAATTCCACACGGCTCATTCAAGAGCGTGACTGGTATAGTGGTACCTTGTCACCTTTTCCGGTCGAATCTCGTTACAACGTACCTCGAGGGGACATAACGAATCTGTCCGTTATAACGGTAGTTCATTGTAGCCATTTCCCAACAAAATGGCCGCCAATTGCGATGCATGAACATTTATAGATGTAAAAACATGAACTTATCATACAGTATAAACATGTCAATTACAAATACATGTACATGAAGACAAAAGTGATTTTATAAGACGTGAAACCAACAACAGCAGCGTTCCTACTGCATCTCTGACAACATTCAGTTAGCAGTTAGCAAATGTTACCCGCTATAGGCAACTGCCAGTGCCGCCGACGTCTGCGAGACTCCCTTTCGAAAATGAGAGACAATTTCATCCTTCACAGACAGCGAGATTTGCTCCCGTTTACCAAACCACCGCACCGGAAGTACAACAATGTACCAAGTCGATTGGTAGCATTGCGAAGCAATTTTGTTCCTCAGCAAGATCGCGGCGGCAGTTAGCTTCCCACGTTTTTTTGTAACGAAGGCCTTTTCACTATTTTGTGGGAACATTGAGGTTGTTATAATAAAGTTTATATTATAAAGGTGTTTGTTGCAAGCAAAATCAGCAAATGGAAAATGGACTACAGGAAATTGGGACTTTGAAATGTGAATGTAAACGGTGTATGTTGAAACAAGATTAAACTATATTTATGATTTTTTTATTTTTAATGTGTTATTTATCCGGACATGTAGGCCAATCTTTTTTGTTCTTATTTTAATTAATTTGAAGATTTGGGTTTGTATTTACATTTTGTTCATCATTACTGTATGTTTTGGGGAAATTTTCTTGGAATGACAACTAGAAATGTTGTCCTGCGTTATCCCCAGTTCATATGTCCATTATCAGCTAAAAGAAAAAAAGTAGTGATGAGATCTCAGTGTCGCGGATATAGCAAGTATGAACACAAATCCACTTCCTGTGCATGATCTCCTTCCCGCAGTTTCTGTACGTGGTGTTGTGGTGCGCCATCTTCTCCACCCTGCACCTCTATCTGACCCTGAGCAACGACTGGATCTTGTGTCTGTGTGTCAGCCTGATCTCCATCTTCCTCACCACCACGATCATGTTTGTTCTCAACCAGAATAAAAAGGAGGTAAAAGGAGCGGTGTTCTGTGAGATTCAAACATACGCTGCAAAAAGTTGTTGTTGAATTTTGGTTTGGGTGTACATGTCCCATTCGCATTCCGTCTGTGTCAGATCAACATGAACTTGGACGTGCGGCTGATCCAAGTAAATGAGACGATGGTCAAGCACAAGCTGCTGGTTGCCGTGGACGACTGGGTGTACAACTGCAAAGGAAGCATGCAGGTAGTTAGGCAATGTGACAATGTTGAGATTTAGTCTGAGTGGCTGGCGGCAGAACTGCAAGTTGAATAAACGTTTGAAAACAAACTGTTCCTCAAAGTTAAAATGCAAAAAGTCCCAAGTAGTAGTAAACACTGTATAGGACTTAAAAGTGAAATACAACGAATTGTAAATGTCCTGTAATGGATTAAAAAGTAATTAAGCCACTGAAACGAAGAACTAATTTGCCATGTGTATAATTCGGATTATTTGCTCCTTTTCTATAGCTGTACTTTGTGTATTGGGACATGGCTTATTGTTTGCAAACACTGACTGAAATGCTGGAGGAGGACAGTTTAGCGGGCATTGACACCTGGGTGAGTTATCTGTCTCATGTGGCCTTCAAAGTAGGCCACCCTCATTTAGAATGGCTATTTATTTCTGGAATGGAAAATGAAAGCTTTCAATGTTCTTGTTTTGTGGAAGACCCTTAAGTCGTCCGCTGTCACTCTTTCACCAGAGCAAACTCCAAAAAAAGATGTCCAATCTCGTTCTAGTGGCCGAGGTCCCGAGCAGGGACCTCGATGAATGTCACTCAGAGGTGGAGCAAGGTTCAGAGGAGCAGAGGCCTCTGTTAAAAAATGAAGACAAAGGCTGCACTTCTTCTTCTTCTTCTTCTAAGGTCACAACTAACTACAGTCTCATCCCTGATGCATCCTTACCCGCCCAGGTAAGACGAACAGTCGTACAACAAATTCTTGTCGAATGAATAAACAAAGGAGGGCAGCACAGTCAAACCCTGAGCCCCGCTGCGTATAGCAAAACTCAAGTTATTGACTCCCTCGCCAAACGTGAAGTTCCAATCATAGCTATGCAGTATGCTTGTCTAAATGGAACTCCTCACCTACTTCAACATAGTACCGAGACCCCAGGATGCCGCAGGATGGCGGCGTAGCACTTGCAAGAGCTAGGGACCCAGCCTTGCCAAAAATAGCGAAAATGCTCAATTGGTGCCTCCCCACAAAACGGTTTATGCTGTAATTGCCTGGAAATGCCACAAGATAGCAGCAAAACACTACAGGAAGCTCCTCAAATGACTTTATTACACGGTAGTTCCTTGGTTCCAAGATGACCACAAGATGGCGACCAAGCGCCATTTTCTTTACATGAATCTCCTCCGAACTCACGACAACATAGTTCCTTGACACCAATATGCCACACGATGCAGACAAAGCACGATGTTTGTTAATATGAAACTGGTCAACCCACTTGAACATAGTTCCTTGACATCAAGATGTCACAAGATGATGTTAAAAGCAAGCCCTATTTTTGTCAAATAAACTCCTTAAGTCACGGTATAAAAAATATAGAAAGAAAGACAGAAATCTGCCAATATGTATTTCCGACAGTATTAATCATTGCTCTTTTGCTGTAGGCTCGTGCCCACCAGCTGTTGATGACCTACAGCGCCGCCTACGTCAAGCTGCTTGTGTCTGATAGGCTGTCTGGGACGTCACACCATGACCTCCAACCACCAAGGAACCACTGCCCTACTGCACCACTCTGCCTCTGCCAGTTCATCCAACTGAAGATTCTCAAATAGTCCAACAGAATGGACGCAACCAGTTTCATCGTCAAAGTTGTATAGTCTGTTACTTTAAATGTACTTTTTTTGTCCATTCATCAAGAAAAACGTTTGGCTCTGTTTTTTCACCCTTTCAGGGATAACGGTTACTACAGTGGACAGCTTACAGGGTGTGTGAAAAGGGTTAACCTCAGAGAGCCTCCACTATCTGTTATAGGACATGTAAAAACTATTAAATGGGCTTGAAGTAAAAACTTTCAGGTGATTCCACATCAACCTCGTTCAATGATGCAAAATTGGGACACAATTCAGAAAGTAGCCAGTATCACCCTTCATCCTTTTGTTCAATCACAGCCCTGTTATGTGGCATGCACTGAACCCCACTTAGAGAAAGTTGGCACTCTATGAAGGAAACTGGAGAGAGGCATGGAGCGTGAGGCCAACTTGAACGATTTCAGACGCTCGCTCTCTTCGGGTGGCTAAATGACCATCTGTGATCCTGTGCGCACAAGGCTGGCTCCGTTTCCATCTTTTGCCTCCCATTTCCCATCCCATATCCGACCATACTTTCTGCATTGGCCAGACGTTGGTTTTTCTTGGACATTTTTTTTTTGTCACTACAAAAACAACAGCAACAAAAAAAAAATCTCCGGCCTGAATTTCAAAATCATGACCTCAGGTGGCATGGATTGTATTCTTCTACCGTGGCTTGGCTTTTGATTGACTTTTGCTGAAAATCAGCTGGGATAGCCTCGGGCTCATAAAAACGGATATGAATCAGAATATGGGTTTTGAGTGAAAAGGCGCAAGTGCATCAAATCGAATCAGATCATTCCAATTGTTTTAAATATTTTTTTAAATGGTTAATACAGCTCTTTGTAGAAGCTCTTGAAGTGAAATTTCATTTTCATTGTCAAGATCTCATAAATATGCCCGTGAGTGTTCGCACGTCACAGAGAGAAGGCAGAAGATTGACGGAAGAAAAAATTCGAACGTGTGGACGGCACCTTTGCGTAGGCGCGGCCGCTTTAGAGCGCTCCGTTGTTGCGGCGTGAAGAAGCTCTTGAAGCTATATTTTTTGGACTATTCATCTGGATTCATCATTCGTAAAATAGAAACTCAAATGTATCGTTTCCCGGCAAGCCATCCATCGTCCATTTTCTGGGTTTGCATCCTAAGCGCACTGACCTCATCTCTCAATGGCATTGAGTGACTGCACAACTGTCTTATCATGACAAAGATAAAAACATCCCTCTTTAATTCCAAAAACGAAGCAAATATGCACATAATAGGGAGACACACTGTAATAGTGCATGAAAGCAAGAGGGGAAAAAGACAGGCACAGAAAAACGGGTCAGCTATAAATAGCTTTTTAGTTAGAGACACACACACACAGAGGTAGAAAACACACACACACACACCCAAAAAATGATGCTTTCACCTCCAAATTGTTTTGTGTCATGGTCCAGAATTCATATATTTTATTCATGACTCAAAACAGCCCGTTCCTGTGCAACACACCCATAAATAAATAATCACAATTTAACAAAATCGGATACACTGTATTTACTTGTCAGCCACCTCCTTGGAAAAACAAAACAGAATCACAGCTACCTGACAAGGTCAAATGAAATCAAATAAAGAATAAGCACACAATAAACTATAGATTTGCATTGGAAAGCTAAGCGCTCAAGAAGCTGTAGCTAAGCACTAGCTAAACTCGATATCCGAGAAGTGAATGTTGAGCCCAAACACGCTCATACAGTATCTGTGCATTATGCACTTAACTGCAACGTGGCTGCGCAATTCATGCTTCAAATGCACCAGTTCTTCCAATAAGGGTCTTCAGTGTTGCTTCCTCACAAATGAATGCCTTAAATTATTATTATTATTATTACGTGCGCGCGCACGCACACACACACACACACACACACACACACACACACACACACACACGAATGGACAGACATACGGACATATATGGATAGAGAGGAGACCTCACAAATCCTCACCAGTAATATTAATTGTTCCTCGCAGAAGATAAAGAATATATGCCTTGGAGTATTGTTTTATTATTAAATATCTGCTGGCTGCTGTGTGGTGTTTCACCTTGTGTGTTCACATTAGCATTATGCTAACAGACTGAAAGGCTACACTGTGTGGTTAATTTGAATAAAAAAAAAACATGTTTTAAGGCTCCTCTTTGAAAGAACGGTTTCCTAATTCTATTTGCTGCAGCAAAAATTCGGGGCAGATGTCTAGTGGGGAAGTAGAAGAGATATGTGAAAGTTAAAACAAACAAGAAAAAATATACCAGCACTTTAGGTCCAGGGAAGATGGACCTAAAGTGCTGGTATGGTAAAACCCCCAAAAAAAAAACATGCTACAAAGAAGTTTAGGCATTTTAATACTTTTGTCTCTCTCTTGAACATTCGTTTTTTAAGGGCTCCCATCCCGCACTGTTGATCTCACGACTGCTGCAACATATCACAAGCACACTCATACTGAAGGAAATCCCACCTCACCGCACAGGATAACTGCAGAGGTATACTGTATATTGTCGCTGACATGTGCACATCAAGCCTCTATATTTAAGAAACAAACTGAGAATGGCATGCAAGCTAATATTTTCTCCTAATCGCTACCAATTCACACGTAGTGTCTAGGCGCCACACAATATAGGCCAATACGCTTCTAAAAAACAAAACAAAAAAAAAACATATCAAAATCTTATGTTCTCGTCTTCACCAAATGAGCCATTGAGAAAGATGCTTTGGGAAATTTTATAACTGCTTTACAACAAATGCATTAATTGTCATGCACTATACTTGAACTACGGCTGTAAGAAGCTGCGTCATCACCTTGGAGTCAGAATAATACGGTAAGGTGTTAAAGTGAAGCCAATTTGATCACAAAGTAAATATCTGGCACATGACAAATCAAGAAATATCTTTTTTTTGTTTTTTTTAAAGAAATCCACAAACTGACGTCTATTATATACTGTAGGTTTTGATAGCTAATACAAATCACCCCCCCAAATAAATAGTCTTGTTCGGCCATGTTGCCGCTTCGTCAACTAGCCTACATTTGGTGTGTTAAATTGTGTATTGATCCCTTCCCCCTCGACAGTTGAATTTTAGTCTCTTACACAAGTGCATTATCAATAAAACAATAGCAGCACACCGTTTCAACATGGCACGGTTACCCAACCCCCCAGAACAATCATATACGGTAAATATAGACGCTCTACTTGGTTTAATACTTGTACGTATTCGTGACTCGATCTTTGCGTCGCTGCTTCCATGACACAAAATAATTGCACTAAGTAATAGCTGGATAACATTTTGTATTTGGCATTCGGACATCCGGCGGAGTTGCTTGTCTTGGCTGTCAATGAGAATGTTTGCTAGCAGCATGTTTCGTCGCATATGTGTGTGTGTGAGTGTGTGTGAGTGTGTGTGTGTGTGTGTGTGTGTGAGAGAGACCGGACTAGTGTGCCTGCAAGCGGTAGCAGTGCATATTATCAGTGCTCCTGTTTCCATGTAATTATCTAAGCCGATGTTTCACGCCACCCCCCACCTCCCCTCCCCTTTCCCCCAGGCCTCATTACGGCTCCCAGTCGTCGTCGTGATGCTGCGAGGCAATGATGACCACCACGGTGAGAATGGTACACAGCACAATGGAGGCGATGCCGACGGCCAGGCTGATGAAGGAGAAGTTGCGGGCCTCGCGCGAGGCGATCTCCGCCGTCACCATGTCCCCTCTGGCAATGGCTGTACGCACCTAAATGCAGAAGGAGCCGTTAAGAGCATTTCTTTGATACCTTTGACGGAGTCAGAGCCAGGAATTTTTAACCAGGGTGACGCAGTGACTCAACGATGGGGTGGCAATAAAATTACTCAGGCACACGATTAAAGCCTCGCGATTTAGGAGTCATCAGGTTTGTCATGTACATTGTGTGCTAAGATGCAAAAGTGTTCATTATGATTAAGACTCAATTCAAATATCATCGATAACACTTCAATGAAAGGATTGTTGGAATGATTTATTGCATACAGGCCAAAATTGGGATTAGTGATGGAAAAATAACATCACGGGGAAGACACTGAATTGTCTTAGTAGTGACGACAAAGAGCGTACTCATCCGTGGACCTTAAGCTGATCGTCAAAAGCTATCGCGTGAATTATCAAGCACCTTTCCATAGGAGGGGACATTTGAATATTATGCAACGAGAAGATGCACAAGTGGGGTGCAGGGCAAACACAAATGGATCGATGTCACCGAGCGTGGAGAAAGAAAGAGGCCACGCGGCACTGCATCTACACACCAAAGTCAGGCCCAGGCCTTGTCAGCTCAACTCAACTCAAACTGAGCTGAGTGAGCAGGGTCACTGGAGATAAAAAAAATAAAAAATAAAAAAACATCCCCTCCAGTTGCTCCCTAAATGGCGTCGTTATGTAATGTATCTGTTGGGTGCAGGCGGGCCTGCACAATCTGCTGCACAATCGGCAAATCGTGATTATATTTAGATATACAGTGAAACTCCTCTACAACGAAATCATGTTTGCAGCAAGAAATTTTTCACAACAGGGGACTTTTCATTGTAGCAAATTTGATCTCAGACGTAAACACGAACACACACAAAAAAAACCTATATGTGTACTTTTTATTTTTATTCCAGTAGTGCATAAGTATGAGCATACACTTATTTGACACTTCATATAGCCAGTGTAGAAAGAAAAAAAGGGAAAGAAATTGTGAAATTCAGAATCAGCATTTACTTTCACATACATCAATTTCTTGCATAATGTATTTTATTTTTACTTCCTCCATCTTTCATTTTTATTACCTTTATCCTGTCTTCAAGCGTTAAAGCTTTTATTTTCGTAACTCCTTGGTATGCAAAGGTCCGTTTTGTCGCCATTTTAGCAATGCAACGTTCGTGCTGCGTCTGAAACAAATACTTCATGTATACTGCGCATGTGGAAACCAGTGTGGTGGTTGCTGTTGCCTTTTCCGAACGAAGCAGTAGAGGAAGCTGTGGCATGATGAGGTTTGTACTTTTGCGGAAGGCTTGTTTTCTTTGTACTGAATCTCGTTGTGAGGCAAGAGCAGAGAAAAAGATTTCGTGTAGCGGAACAGGGGCACTTTTCGTTGTAGGGGGAGCAGAAAAGTGGGAATGGCTTTCATCCATGAAATATTTTTCACACCTGGGGGGGGTATTTTTGCCCATGTAGGTTTCATTGTAGAGGAGTTTCACTGTACATGTACAGACTTTATTATTATTTTTTTTAAACATCGGATCATGTGTCTGCTACCTGGGCCGTCAAATCCTCCGCACTCACCTGTACCGCTTTGATGATGGCGATGATGCCAGTGGGCCAGAAGCAGCACACCGTGGTGAGCACGGCGATGGGCAGGTAGTCGTGCGGCGGCCGGCGGTCCATTAAGGTGATGTTGGGCGGCATTTGCATGGGGTGAATCTGACCCGGTGGCATTGCCGGGTGGCCTCCTGTCGCAGGCATGTAGGGCTGACCCTATAATGGAAATTGGAAAATGTTCTCAATTTTCATGCGGTTTATAATTCTTGTGCATTCAATGTTTTTTTTTAAATCTAAAATTCTGCGGTTAGACTTTCATTGGTGTGGCCTTAATTCTGCAATATTGCAACATGAAATTATTTTCTCGCCAAATCTTATTTGCAGTCAGCACGCTCTGTGTCGGCTCAGTTCTTTATTGCTGCTTTCATAACCGCTTAAATGCAATTATAATTTCCTGCAAGATATGAAAGGGAATATACGCTTGTGGAAATGAGGTTAGTCGTTTTTTTTTTTAATCGTATTTCAAGCGAATAAAAATTTACAACCACGAATGATGCTGCAGATTATATTAAGAGATGGACATAGATGGTACAGTACATTATGTTGGGAGGCTCCCAATTAACTAACTAAAACGCAACCAATCGATTCAACTGCACCGTACAACCTCATATACTCAGAATTTTGAAATCTTCTAATTCTGATTTTATTTATTATTTTTTTCAATAAAAGCAATTCTCTGAGACTACGTCACTGTGTCATTCCATTCAGGAGGGTCATGGACAAACTGGAGCCTTTTCCAGCTGACTTAGACCAAGTGGCAGGGGACACCCTGGACTGGTCGGCAGCCAATCGCAAAATACAGAAAGGCATATTTGAAACAAACATTCACACCACAATAGAGTCTTCAATTAATCCAATGAGCAGGTTTGGGGAATTTGAAGTAGCCTAAAATGACATTTGAACCCGGAACATCTCGACAGTGATGCAGACATGCTAACTACGAGTCTACCATGCTGCCCGACACAGCTAACATCCTTAGCTTTAACACATTATATACACACACACACGCACGCACGAACGGCGCGCGCGAGAGTCTGTAAATATGACTCACTGAGGCCATGGGGTAGACAGGAACGTAAGCAGTGCACGGCTGCAGCTGCAGAGGGTACCCAGGATGGAGATATCCCACTGGAGGATGAGGCATTGTTCCTCCGGGGCCCTGAGTCTGGACTGTGTAGCCTTGTGGGGCCCCCGGGGGTCCCATTGTGTTACAGTGGAACTGAGTCTCTTGGAGGTATCCCTCTGAGCCCGGAGGCGGAGGCGGCGGGGGATAGCTGGGCTGGGCGCCGGGTGGCATGTTAGGGTGCTGTGGTACGTTAGGGTCCTGCGGGCCCGGGATGTACGGAGGGGGTTGCATCGTCTGACGGGTGGAGTCGTCGAGGCCTGGAAGTGGGCGGACAAAAAAGGGAGGAAGGTGAACTGAGTAGAGGGTGAAGAAGATGGAGGCATGGCATGAGAACTGGGCACACGTGGAAGAGGTGGACCACTTCTCCTTTCATTAAAAAAAAAAGGTGTAAAAGTGACCATTTCTCTTACTGTCATTAAAAAAAAAAATCAAAAGTGATATTTGATAAAATAAGATTTCATGTCAAGCTTCATGACTCATCCAGATCACCTACCCACAATCCTTGGCTTTAACATTTGATGAGTTCAAGAGAGAAAATTTAGAGAAACTCAATCAAGCGTACTCTTTCATGAGAGAACATTGTCCCAGCAGTTATACGTTCAGGTCTGTGTTATGCAACAATAAAAACATTAATAAAATATAAATAAAAAAATAAAATAAAAAATTATCTAAAGGCTTTGGAATTGTACTGAATTCATTTGCTAACATGCATACGTGGATGCAACTACTCGTCTACTCAATGTACTGTAGTGTATTTCAAAATAATTCGAAATGATCAACTTCCAGAAAATCATTCTTCCACTAGATGGCACAAGGATCCCTGCTTACCCACTTTAGGTGACATTCTTCATTTTTAGCAGTTTCTTTGTGGCTAATAATGTTCAGGTCGACTAATGCGCCACCCCTAAAGAGTAACAATTGATTCGTCTTAATAATTCAAATTTTTAAAAATGAAAAATAAAAATTGCTTTTCACAATTAGCAGGAACGTATGTGGCATTCTGGACGTCATCAAAGGACGATTGAACAATGAGTGGAAATTGAAGGTTTTTTTGAAAATAAAAGTGAGATTGAAAGTGTGCTTAAATTACAACAACAACAACAACAGCTGCAATGTTGTGGCGTCTGGAGGTGAATCCGTTAACGAAGTGGCCACGCATTTGATTTCCAGCCGTGACGTGATTCCTTATTTAATCTTCAATTCACACAATCATCACAGCATCATTATGGCAGCTTGGACGCCCACGTAACGTCACAAGGATGTTACTTGTTAAGGCTAATGATTTGATGAATTAACAAATCCAAAAAAAAAAAAAAACCCAAAACAAACAAAAAAGACAACACGTGAAATTACAAACTGATTTTTTTTAAAAGTGTGGTGCTGGAATGGAAGAAGAGTACTGTATCGTTTCAGGCCGTGATGTTTCTCCGTTGGCTGCACCCACGCACCGCGTGTAGGCTCCAAATGCGCACATCGGGTGGAGATGGTGACAAATGAGGCTTTTAATTAAAAAAATAAAACACGATAGTTTCCGAGCACACAAACACGATGCGCAAAAAAACCCCCCACTAAAATACAATACACAATTGATTTTACCGTGTTTTTCCGACATGCCTCTCTCTCCTCCTCCTCTTATCGGATGTTTTTGTCACCAATCCAGAAAAAAAGGTGGTGAAAATCCCTTCCAAAGATGCGCAACGGTTGCTGACTTCTACTCCAAAGGCGTGCAGGCCATTCTCAAGATGCTTTCATCTTCAAGAGCACGGATAACCTGATCTCTATCTCTCCTGGAACACAGTGCATATCTGCTGCTCTCGCGTGTGTGTGTGTGTGTGTGTGTGTGTGTGTGTGTGTGTCAAAAAAATAAATAAATAAAAAGGTTTCTCCGCGAACACGTCGGTGAATATGAAATCAATCAGCCACCCAGAAATCTTAAAGGGACAGTCAGTTCTGAAGGGGCGCAAGCATTGAGCTCGAACATCCCATTAGAACTCAATAAAAGGGCTGGATTTGAATGAGCTGTCCGATCCCTCCTCCCCCCGATCTTCTCAAATGATTTTCAGGGCTTGTATGTTTTTTTTTTTTTTTTTTAAACAACAAAAATACACACACTTAACAACACAGTACGTTTTAATACTGTTCAAGCATTTACACAGAGAAAATGTACAAAGGCAAAAATAAATGTAAATTTGCAGCACAGTGGCGGTTGGTGGTTTCCTCCAACATTCCCAAAACATAGATTTTAGCTGAATTAAAGACTCAAGCTGTCCATAGATATGAATGTGATCTGGCCCAAAGTTTGTTTTTTTGTTTTTGAAGCCAAAGCTATGCCATTGGTACACAGTGATTAATTGCTCTTTGTTTGATGTTTAGTTTGACAGTAAACTTCAACTAGGGGTGGCATTAAATAGCTTTTCTTGTACTATTATTTCATTTTCGTTGTAATTTCTGGCGGCCCTGTGGCACCATGCTGACTATCACAGGTCATTCTGGGTGCGATGACAGACATCTGGTTTGGGAAAGAGATTGGCGATTGTCAATGGAGATATCGCTCGGTGTGCGGGGTGCCATGCCGGTCATTTAGAGTACATTTCATCCATTGACAGGAGATTGCATTATTTTTCACTTCTCATGTTTGGGATGTCACACATTTTAAAAATTGGTTAAGACGTTAAAAATGTGTACGGTGGTATCGACTTAAGCTGACATGAACTTCATGGTTTGATGTAAACATTTTTTTTTTAAGCACACATCCATCACCCATCTCTCAGTGGGTGTAGAGAGAGGCAGTAAAGACGATGTCCCTCCGGATGGCGAGGGAGGCCTTCTCCATCTTGCTCCCGAGCACCGAGTCTCCCACGATGCGGGCGGCCTGGCGCAACTCTTTCAGAACCTCGTCCAGACGCTGGATGCAGCGCACCACCGTGCCCTCCTGTACGTCCGTCAACTGGGCGATCTCTGCGAACGGCTATGTTGATTGAGAGATGGATGGGTGGTGAGAATTGTTCGTGATGCATGAGAAACGGAATGGAAGGTGAGACAGAGAAAATAGCAACATCAACATTGAAACGAACAAGACAATTCTTAACCAGGGGTGGCTTTGCAAAAGTGACATTCAAATGCAATCTGGTTGCATCGGAGTGAAAATCTCCTCCTCCTAGTCTCCAAAAGTCTCCGATAACACCCCCGCAAAAAGGCGTTTTTGTTTAAATAGTTACCAACGGGGTGGAAATTGATGCTAAATATAGGCTAAGTTGGTTACTTGGCGTAGCCACTGGTCGTCATGGTAACCAAGTCTGCCTCTGCATGCGCCAAGATGGGTCCGTATTAGTAAGCACTGAAGCAGACTGTTCTAATGACACTTGCTGTAATGAATTGTTCTTTTATTGTCCTCAAGTGATACATTTCTGGGCAAAAGCATCTCTCACCATTCAGTTTGTGAGGAAATTACAATTGTAACTATTTATGACATCAATACAATACAATTATTCTCACGAGGGTCGCGGGGGGTGCTGGAGCCTATCCCAGCTGTCTTCGGGCAGTAGGCGGGGGACACCCTGAACCGGTTGCCAGCCAATCGCAGGGCACACAGAGACGAACAACCATCTGTGCTCACACTCACACCTAGGGACAATTTAGAGTGTTCAATCCGCTTGCCATGCATGTTTTTGGAATGTGGGAGGAAACCGGAGTACCCGGAGAAAACCCACGCAGGCCCGGGGAGAACATGCAAACTCCACACAGGGAGGCCCGAGCTGGAATTGAACCTGGTACCTCCGCACTGTGAGGTCGACGCGCTCACCACTGAACCCCCGGGCCGCCGTACAAAACATCAAACTCATTAATTCAAGTGGGAGTGTTTGGATTGCATTGATTGGCTCCCAGCTCCTACCTTACTGAAATCCTTGCGTAACGTGTCAAGTAGCATGTTAGCTGCTTCATTCCCGTGAAAGTCACTAATAACAAAATAACATAAAAACTCACCATGCCTCTGGCCCAGCAATAAACCACCTCTGTCAGGCCAAACTTGAACTGGCCCACAAATTCTTCCGCTGTTTGTGGTAAGCCGCAATCCCTTTGTAACTCTCCGATGCGCTGAGCAACCGACAACACGCGATCGATACCCTGCGGAGAAAAGACAAATTAGAGGAAAAAAAGTGATGAGTCAACCATAAGGGAAGTTGAAAAGAAAACAAGGAGGTAAGGGAAACACTCACTGGGCACTTCTCTCGGTATAGTTGCAACTGAAGTGATGCCGTTTCGAAATGAAAACTCATGTATCGCGGGTGATGTCAAAATATTAATATTCGGTATCTTACAATACAGTTCGAAAGCAATTACAACCACATGAACAAACATACTCCTCGATCGATACGAAACAATATCATGTCTGGAAAGTCAGATTCAGGTTGATACAAATCTTCCATTGGATCAATAAATAATGCGAGTGTATCTCCTGTGGTTTGGTGAGTGTACATGACTCACCTCTTCGTGCTGTGAGAATGACTTTGCCTTTTTTTTCCCTTTTTCTGAATGAGTTTTGCTGCTTACCTGAGCGTGACAACTACATCCGGAGAGGAGGTCATGACTAATTTAAGACCCTATAAAGCACTATCATGTCCCAGGTTAAGGTCCAAAGATGTGGAAGCAGCAAAAGGTGTATTTTTTTTTTGTTTTTTTACAAAACATGAGTGAATTAAAGAAAAACAAGTGAAGCACGATGTTCTGGATCTTAGCCGCACTTGTGCAGGCTGCAGTTTGTCCGGTGGTGAGCAGTTAGGGCCAGCAAGGCCTTTTCTGACACAATGAAATGGGCGAGTCATACAAAGCGGAAGCGGCAAACGTTGCCTGGTCGACGTGATCGCTTGCGCCTCACCTCCTGTAAAGTGTTGGTAATGTGCGGCTCCACTTGGGTGTTCTGCGTGAAGACCAAACAGGACAGCAGGGCGGCGCTCTCCTCAGGCGCCAGCGGGCTCAGCGCGTTCTCAAAGAGCAGCTCGGTGAGCAGCAGCTCGTGGCTGCTGATCTGACAGGCTACGCGGCCTTTGAGCTGCACGGCGCCGCCGCTGTCCACGTACTGGAGCGACTGCAGCACCTGAGATGCACCGACGGGAAGATATTGCGAGCTTGTGACTGTGCAAATGGCGATTTATTAAAGACACGCACAAAAAAAATAAATAAATAGAACCGTGATACGTTTCACTGCAACTATGTCAAATAACCAAACCTTGATTCTCTGATGGTACTCGGGCAGCAGAGATAACGACTGATCTGAAACCAGGAAAAGCAGTTTGTCCAGCTCCTCTTGTACACTCATCCTCTCCTTAACTTTAGCAAACTGAAACATGCACACATATAGATGACTTTATTTCTGTATGGACCATCCAAAGTGCCAAAAAGCCACGCAGAAGGTCACACCTGCTCCGTGAAAGTGGGTGAGTGGATGCAATTGAATTCTCTGAGGCTGTCCTGCAGCACACGGAGACGCATGGAGGCCTCGACAACGTCCACGCTCTTCAACTGGAGGTCGTTGACTGCGTCGAGGGTGGCGATGCCGCCTGCGTTGGCCTCGGCCAACCGCAGGAGCTCTTGGGTGGCCGTGGAAATGGCTTGACCGGGTGGTTCGGTCCTGGTGGGTGAGACGGCGTCGGTTTCGTCCACTGTACTGAGGCAAACATCCAGATTCACGAAAAAGGCAGTCGGTCGACAAACCTAAATCGGGGCTGTTGTCTCTTATGATAGTTGTCGATTATCCTGTCCGGGATGATTTTGAGGGTCTTCATTGTGATGCCGGTGATGTCCTGTAGCTTCAGCTTCTGCACTGTGTGGCTGCATGGACCTGGACAAAAACTTTATATTACGATAATGCCACCCACCTACAATAGTCTTCCTACAACAAAATCCAAGAGAATGTTGTCGCTAGGCAGAATTTGTGGCGCGTGACCATTAGTTCTGAACAAAAAAAGCCACGTCTTCCACGCCCAGAAAACATTGATTTGAACTGTAAATTGAGGCTTAACTGCAGCCAAACTTATATTATCCATCACATTCAAATCAACTCCCAAACGTAAATCTCTCCTCGACGGTTCAATTTTAACAAGATATTGACAAGACAGAACAACAGCACCCTCTGCTGGTCCCCACAAACCAAATCCAACCGACCAACCTTCGGGGATAAAGAGCGCAGCGTTGTAGAGGTGAGGAAGAGCTCGGCTGTCACCGCCGTTTCCCTCTCCTTCCTCGTTCCCTTTGTCGCACATGATGAGCGCTGTGAAGGTGCGATTCACAGAGTCACTGGACACCTGGAGAGAGGAACCGCACATGGAGGGCACACTTGCGGAAGTACTGTGACCGTTTGCTCACCGCGGCCGTGACATATCAACAGTCGAGTCTTTGCAGGTGTGAATTACAGTCTGCGGCCCAGACTCAGCTTGCATCCATCCTCTAAGCCAAGTGCATGCTGGGATACTCAGCAGAGCGTTGAAAATTCGGAACGTCTGATAATTGTGTGGATGCTGGGAGAGCTGTGCCTTGAAACCACCGTATTTTCCACACTAAAAGGCGCACTGGATTATGAGGCGCATCTTCAGTGAATGGCCAATTTTGTCATTTTTTTCATACATTGGACGCACCGCTTTATAACACGCAATCTACAATGCATCCACTAGATGGTGCTACGCTCAAGGAAACACCCACAGAACGATCAGATGTCAGTAAAACTAATTTAATAAAGCAGCGTCAGAGTTCACTTAACCAACAGCAAGTTATAACATTGACTCGTTAACAGTGAACTCCCTTGCCGCTGCTCTATTTCCGTGTTCAACTGCATAACCGATCGCCTTAAGTTTGAACTCTGCGTTGTCAGCACGGCTCGAGCAAGGAGCCATTTTGGGGTCGAAATATTACCGTAATGACCATACACAAAGGCGCATCGGATTTTAAGGCGCACTGTGAGCTTTTAAGAAGATGGAAGGCTTTTAGGTGCGCCTTTTAGTGCGGAAAATACGGTAATGTGCTGCACACCTAAATAGGGTATTTTGTGAACCATTCAAAAACCGACCTGCAGGATAACTCCCAGGGCGTTGAGATGCTGCTTGTTGTTCACCACCACAACTCGGCCTGCAGACAAAGCCTTCAGCCCATTGACCGACTCCAGAATAGCACGCTGGCGCCAAAGACAGCAGGTAAGAGCTGGATGCTACATTAGCAGCGGTGAAAAGGTGCGTTGTGTGTCTTGTGGGTGTGTGTGTAGCACCTGGAGGATGTCTCTCGTGGTTTGCAGCTCTGTCACTGTGTGGTAGTACGGCAACAAATCAGAGAGCTGGCCCTCACTGGCCGCACGTGGCAGAGTGGACAACGTCTTCTTTAGTTGGGTGATTCTCTTTTCATGCGCCTAGCGGAGTACAGACAGAATGATAATGAGCATACTTACTGTATGCAGCAGCTGCTGTGAGCCACAGCTCACGCCCGGGCACACACATAGACTCACCAACATCCCACACCACCCGCTAGAGTAGGCTTGCAAAATCTTTGTGCTCTAACTTAGTTACAACGTGGAATGAAAAATTATATGTTCTTGATATTTTGCAAACTTTCAGCACTTGGGGTTGCATCTGGTTTTGTTGTGCTCCGACCTGAGTGTCTCGGTGGCTTTCAGAGAAGCTTCTCCTCATCATGTCCGTCACGTGGAGAGCCTCGACTCGCAGCAGGTTGAGGATCATGGTGTAAGTCAGTCTGAATTGTGAGTGAAGCGTGGTGGGCTTGCCCTAGAAGGAAGAGATGTGACATTGAAAAAAAAAAAAAGTCTTTCAAAGTCTCTTGTCGGATTCATTTTATGGTCAATCTTGGTTCCAACAGCTCGACATGATACTAATTATGCATGGATAACCGCGTTCTATTTCAACTGAACCGGGATGCTGTCGCATACAACACCGAGAGCCTCACCAGCATCATGACATGCAGCTCGGACATCTCGTGAACACCGGCTTTGCAGAGAATGATGACCGTGCCTGTGGCATCAAGACCTCTCCTCCCTGCTCTGCCCGCCATTTGAATGTATTCCCCTAAAAAGACATTAAAAAAACGTCAACACCTCAATTTGTGTACTGAGATGAAGCGCTTTTCATCAGCAGTGGGCTCAGCAGCACACCAGGCAGCAGATTCCTGAAGCCGGTTCCGTCATGTTTTCGGATGCTGTCGAAAACGACAGTCCTGGCAGGCATGTTTACTCCCATCGCAAATGTCTCGGTTGCGAACAGCACCTGAAACAATCGCATTTATGATTGAAAGGTGGCTCATTTTGGCCGAAAATGTAAAAAAAAATTTTTTTTAAATAATGGTTGGACGCGTAAGCCTCACCTTTACGAGACCTCTTGAGAAGAGCATTTCAATCACCTCCTTCAGGATGGGGAGAATTCCACTATGATGGACGGCTACTCCTCTTTTCAACAGGTCCCTCATGAGCACGATCTGAACAAGATTTTTTTTTAAATGTGTTATTGAAACAGCATTCAAGCTAATACAAAATTTTCCCTTAAAAAGCTCAAATAACTGCCACGGATGAGCGTTTAGCATAGCGTTAGCTTAATTTCTAATAATAATTAAAGACAATATACCGTACATAAATTAATGAATCAACTCACCAAATATTTTTTTAAACAGCATATTCTAAGTTACTAAGTATGGCATTCATTTCGTTTAGAGCTCCATTTTTCCTGAGTCTTGTTTGTGCGATGCACAGCGCCCTGGCGGTTAGCACGTCAATGGGAAATAGATGAGCGCGGAGGTTATATGAAAAGGACGTCCGAGCTACCTGAGGCAACTGTCTGTCTCCCCCTCGGAGGCGACTCAGGCTCTTTTGGAAGAACGAGTGAATCTCGGCCTTCTCGATGGAGGTGGTCAAGTCCATGGAGTCCAGCGAACGGGCGTTCTCGTCGCAGCGTGTGCGCGAGAACGTGAACGCCACCACGGGCGTCTGCTGCCGGTGGGACAGGAAGTGCAAGAGGGTGAGCCACACCGCGCGGTCCTAAAATGGAGACAAGGATGTTCATGTGAGAAGAAAAAAAATAACAAAAAAATCAACAAACCGCAAGAGCATGTGAAGGACAGCTTTGTGAGTGTTACGGGGAGAAAGAAAGAATTACTTGACTAGCTGTGGTGTGCTGGGATGTACTTTTCGTGCCATAAGATTGGGCGTATTTGCTAGTTCGCTCCTTCTTGGCATCCACAGCTGCGTAGTAGCTGAAAACACACAATATGCTTTGCTTGACATAACTTTCCCAGATATAGAGGTCCCATTTTTGCTTTTCTATGAGGACTTCTGGTAAAAAAAAACAAAAGGTGGTACCCTTTGGTAAGGAAGTTTCCTGTAGCATCCAACAGTAGAAACATTTCTTTCTGAGTCTTTGTGTTGTTTCCAGTGTACAAATAATGCTCCAAAGGCACGGGCCTCTTCAGCGTGCTGATCACATAAATGTGCTTCTTCTTAATACGTCTGGAAAGTTCCACGGCGGAAATGTTGACATTGATCCAGCTTGAGGTGCTTTTCATACGGAGCGTTGTGGCTGCTCTAAACAGGAAGCACCTACCCGATCCATTCGCTGAATTCCAGAGCGTTTGGCACTGTGGCGCTCAGGAGAATGATGCTTACGTGATCAGGCAACATGATCAGCACCTCTTCCCAAACCACTCCTCTCTGTGCAAGTCAAGAAAAAAAAAAGAGAGAAACAGATCATATTAAATGGGAATATTTTTTTCAATTGCAATTTGGGGAAATGGTTGTGGAAATCTCCTGACCTCTGCATCATTAATATAGTGGACCTCATCAAATATGACCCACTCCAAGTCTCTGATGACTTCTGAACCGTTGTAAAGCATTGACCTGAAAGTGAAGAGAAATGTCTTAGTGTTATGGAGGGCGCAGGGGTGGGGGGCCCAAACTACTGATAACCACAAAAATGTAAGACTACCTGAGGATTTCGGTGGTCATGATGAGACATGAAGACTCAGGACTGAGCTGGACGTCACCTGTGAGGAGACCCACATCCCCAAAGGTCGTCTTGAAGTCTCTAAACTTCTGATTGGACAAAGCCTTGATCGGGGAAGTGTAAATAGTCCTATCGTAGAACACAATTTACGCATAATTAAATATTCATCCATCTTTTTTTTTTTTTTAAATAGATAGCACTTGCTCTCATTAGGACTACGGATGAGCTGGAGCCAATCCCAGTTCACTTATTCTGAAACGCAGAAGGCGGGATAAAAATCATAACTGACAACCATTTTAGAGCCTTCTGTATGTTTTTTGAAGATCTGTTTCGACACCGGTGTTTTTAGTCGGTCCGCTGAAGTTGTCATGGTGTGGATGGAGGGCAAATTTCTACACGTCAAAACGACGGCAAACTAGTTGAGAATGAACCAGCAGGACCTCTGAACAAATTCAAATTTCAAAATGATTAGTTGATCAATTATTATACTCATCCCTATTTAGGATACTTAAACAAACAAATAAATAAATAAACCAAACCATAATAGCTATGGAATGTTTGTTTATCGTCATATGTTGTTTATTAGCTCGGTAAATTATTTTCTATCGAAGGGTGACCCCTAGTGGTCATTACAAGAACATTCGACAGAAACTACAACATTGCCAACTTCGATTTGATTTCCCTTCCTTTTAAACAAACAAAGTGGCTTTTTCAAATCAGAAAGGTGATCGCTCAAGAACGACACGAGACTTTGATGTGAATTTTCAACGTATCTGCAAATACGGACCTTGTCATGTGTTTCTGCGAGAGGGCAATGGCGTATTCGGCCACGACGGTTTTGCCAGCCGACGTGTGCGCCGCGACAAACACTGAGTCGTGGGCCTCCAGTCGTAAAATGGCTTGTTTCTGGAATACGTCGAGCTCGAACGGCCACTGGAGAGGCAGAGGAAGGTGCAAAAATACCATTGCCGGAAAAGCAAATAAAAGGGGAGGATGAGGACACTGTTTGGCATGTCCGCAAAACTGAGCACAGCGAGTACCTTAAAAGCTGGATGAGGAATACGTTTGTGAAAATTCTCGCAAGGTGAACTTATGTCAACGGGAATGGCCCATTTCTTGGTTTCTTCTGGTTTCTCATTCTGGAGTGAGTTTCTCTTTTTTCCCTCACTGAAGGGAGAGGAGGAAGACATGGCATCCTGATGGTAGAGAGATAGAACCAAGCGCATGAAAGACAACAGCTTATTTATGGCATTTTAAAGATGAATATAAAAATTTCTAAAATAGTCAATATGGTACTTTGATGCCCAGGTCTACAAGGCTGTTTGTCCTTGGAAGTTTGGTGGCCTCCTTATGTCCTTGGCCTTCCTCCTTTGCTTCTGCCGCAGCCTCCAAATCGATGACATCATCAGAAGTCGACAGAAGCGACATGAGGCTGACCTCTGGTTTTGATACTTGAGCTTCTTCAACATGCACATTTTGAAAAAGGAAACGTTACTAGAAACGACGTGTTTGTTCGAAATGACCAGTAAATGGCTAAGCTAGTAACTATTAAAATAGACGTCAATTTCTCTGAATGGCATTAGTGTGAGTCCTTCAAACAGAACCAATGCAATTATATTAATCGAACTGTACATTGACCGACATATACATAAGCCAAGACATGTCCACAAACCTCTGTTGGCGATGTCCATTCCAGCTTTAAAACCAGGAGGAACTTGGAGCAAATCTGTCAGTAAGAAAGTAAGAAACATAAATAACATCCATCTTGTACTTTGCAATTGCAGTATAATTTAATTTGTTCGGAGTTAATTTTCCCAGTAAGAAATAACGGAAAGAGGATGAATCTGTGCTAGCATATTTTCTTGGAAACTGGGGGCCAAATTCTGGGTTGACAAATGCAAAATAGTTCGAATTTCAATGTTCCACTGTATTTTGACACTTGGTGGAAAACAACATGAAAGCTCACCATTCTCAAAGTCGATATCCTGCTCCAGCTCTGACTTATTCTTGATTTGGTCGAGAGTAAGTTCCTCCATACCACCTATGGATAAGTGTGTGTGTGTGTGTGTGTGTGTGTGTGGGGGGGGGGGGGTAAAAACCCTCGCAGAATTTTGGGG